TGTATTGTCTCTGCTGTTCAACAAAATGAAACAGGTTCATTAGAGCTGCCATGGAGCAGATCTGCATGGCAAGCACCTGAGAAAGAGGGTCTCATGAGGTGGAATGCCACATTGTGCTTGTTGATGTCCCCCTTTGAAGATTGATCTGTCACCCTGTCTGCAAGGCAGTGAGTTAGCAACCGTAGTTGCTCAAGTTAATACTTCCTTGGACAATCAAACACCAAATTAATTTGTGTGATAACATAGAAGAGCCAAGCTACTTCATTTCAGATCTTGTGAAGGTATGTCTTGTCACTGGACCAAACACTGGTTGGTCAAAAAAGAAGAATTCAGAACACAGCCAAACTTTTATTGTTACCACTGAAAATTACTTCAGTATGAGGTGATGGACCCACCCTGAAGGGCTCTCTGTGATGAGATGCAGGATGCCTTTGCTTGACACTAAAAATGTTAATAAACTGGATGATTAGAGGATTCTTCCAGATTAGTTGAACAAATGCTGTTTGATCCTTGACCTCTCCAAGGGGACTGAGAACTTCAGTTGTCTTTGCTGTTGTTAAATTGTACCTGTTGTTAGGGCTAAATTTAATATAAATCAGTGTGCAATAATAATGTTGTATAAATATGTGCAATATGCTAAAATGAAGTATTCTTACTGTTTATCTATCTTTATTTGAAATTGTTTTCTATTTTTAAATAAACTGTATTTTATGAGTACTCAAGTGGAAGTTTTAAAGTTCAAATATTTGAAGTACTCTATAATGATATTCTTCTATTTACACTAAATTGCTTAGATTTAGATTTTTTATAATTAATTTATGACGATAGCTTCTTTCTTAGAAGTTATGTGTACAGTCACAAACCCTTGAAGAAATACGAACTTTTAAAAGTGGATAATCTTTAAAGTGGCTATGATAGAAGCTTCTGTTCTGTTGCTTAATTATATGGGGATTATTCTGTGGCTTACTTTTTTTTTTTTTTTTAAATAAATATGTATTTTTGGTGCTTAGGCTAAATCCAGAATGTATCTATCTTTTCACTTCCACATTTTCAGTAATAATTTCAATATCTCTTACCTGCCAGGTGCCACTGTACCTGCAGATCTGTAATTTGAATTCAGTGCTCCTTAATCTGCTCTGGACAAAATAAGCTAGGCTAGTTCATATTATTCTGCAGTCTGACAGTTGACCTTGTCCAAACAAAGTCAGTGAGCAGTCAGCATTAGCTGTTCTGCTGACAGAGGGGGGAGCTGGAAATTTCTGGTAGGAGAGACATTAAAACAGCTGAAGGAGCAGTGAGTACTGTTTAAAAAAAAAAAAAAGAAAGAAAGAGTACCTGTCCCTTTATTGATTTACATATGTCTAATTTAATAAAGTGTAGAATCCAAGGTAACTTACCAACGTGCGTGTTTATTTAAAGTTTGCTATTTTGCATGTCCTTTACTTAGCAAAAAAGACAATTCCTGAGTGCCTGGAAAAATGAAGCTAGTCTAGCTTAGCTTGGAAAACTATCACCTGTTTTTAAAAAGCTGTCGCAGATTTGTTTTTAAGTATCATAAAGTTAAAATTATGGAGTATGTTAGATTTAATGTGGAAATAAAGCCCATATGATTTGAAATCCAGAAGTGTCTGTCTTTTGAAATGACGCGTAAAATGTACCCATCTGGAAAGGTTGCTTTGTATGTATAAGGAAAGTGCCTAGTCCTTCTAAATCATCTCTCAGATGATTTCTTATGCCACTTTTGTTACTGTTCCTATCTAAAGAAGTCCTTCTGTTCAGGATAAAGTACTGTCAGAAACTTGTGATGCAATAATTTCTTTTCAGTTCTTGTGAAAGCTGTGCTAGCAGTGTTTTTGTTTAGCATATTTCTCTGACTGTTACTGTGCTGTCCGTTGGTAATAACTGCAGTTAACTGAACTCTGTTTTAACTTGCATCTGGAAAGTCTTCATAACTTGCATGTTTCTAACTTAACGTGTGAATTGTTTCCTGTGTGAACCATTCCACACTTCCTATATTTACAGTCTTGAAGCACATCAATGATCTAGGATGGCTGCAGATGAGGATTTTCTCACTTATTTAAGGTAGATGTGTATAGAGTGATAGAAGAAGAACTTGGACATGACTCAGCAGTGTGCACTTTCAGCCCAGAAGACCAACAGTACCCTGGGTTGCATCAAAAGAGGGGTGTCAGCAGGGAGAGGGTTAGGTGTTAAGAGAAAACTCTGTACTTGGAGGACGGTGAGGCTCCCAGAGGTGAGGCTGCCCAGAGGACCTGTAGATGCCCCATCTCTGGAGGAATTCAAGGCCAGACTGAATGGGGCCCTGGGCAACCTGATCTGGTGGGTGGAATCCCTGCCCATAGCAGGGAGAGTGGAACTGGATAGTCTTTAAGGTCGCTTTTAACCCGAGCCATTCTGTGTGAAATAATCTTGAATTCCTTTTCTACTTATGGACAATAGAGAATAGGATGGCATTTCTGTGATCTTAACATTTTTCACTACTTCTGAAGAAAGGGATGCACAAAACATTTATCTGTGAGAAATATGCTTGCCCTCAGTGGAACAATTACGGAGATGTCCCTCTTAAAAACAAGACTTGCTTGAGTTTATCTTGTAAATTCTCAATCCTTAGAAACATAGACTGTAGAGCAGCATTCTCTTATCTGTTTACTGCTGTTGTAATATCTTTACATACTTTCAGATTTTGGAATATGTTATATGCAGAATGTCTTACAGTGGTTGGATGACCTAATTTTTTATTAGTTGTCTGGTTTGGATATCTCAGTCCTTATTTTTAGAAGTGTTCTACTGGGAATAAATAAATAGTTTTGTTCATGCCATTTTGTTTTTGAAGTTGCTGAATTTCCATGTTGTAATTCTGTAGACAGGAACATCAGCAGCATGGAGTTTGGGCTTGAGTTGCTCTGACGGCAGCTTGATCCATGCTGGGAGTTATTACAGGGTTATCATGTCCCTGTCTCTCTTACACTGCAGTATGCAGATCCAGTGAAGAGACTGAACTGTTGAAACCATCCATTAGGAGCAACCTGCAAGGGAGCCTAAGGAACAGCCTGCAGATGCTGAAGGTTTTTTTAGCAGCTGTTTGTCTGGGGATCTTGCCATACATTTTCTTATTTCCATTTTTGTATGTGAGCACCTGTTCAGTTTGAGCATCTACGTTTAGTTGTCCTTATTAGTAATCCAAACCAAAGGCAAGCTGCAGCCGGTAGCTGTAACAATAGAAGATGAGGGAAGGAGAGAGTGTAACTGTAAGGTGCTGAAGTTGCATAGACCAACAGTTCGTGCACCAGGTAACTTGGAAACTGTAGATTCCAAAAACAGAGTGTAATATACAACTTAATAAGAACATAGTAGTTGCTTTCTTGTTTAAAGTCTTAGCATTTACAGAGTGAAATTTTTGCTTACTCTTTATGTACTATTCAACATGTGCTTGTCTTACCTTTTTTCTTCATAATGGTTCCACTTGTTCATGAATTTTTAACTGTACCATTATTTTATTTTAATTAAAAACTACTGTTTCTTGGCTTTTTGTAGTTTTTTTTAAACAAAAAGATGCTCAGCATTTGTTCTGTTCTTAGCTCATGGGCAGAGGAGTCTGTGAGGAGTCTGCAAGTAAAAGAAATGTTCCAGTAGTTCCTTGCTCTGCACTTTTTAATGGATTCTGAGTTTTCAGATTTTGCATCAGCCTTTTCTGCAGGTTGCTGGGGCCATTTGAAAGCCAGTACTGTGGGAAGTGGTTAAAGAATGTGGTGAACTTACTCTGCAGAGTTTGGGTGCATAACGTATTGCTGTACTGGGAACGTTAGTTAAGAGAGCTGAGGGATACGCTGTGAAATGAGATTGTCTGATAGCAATTAGTAAGTGGAACTAACAGCTGTTTACAGACTCTGTCTGAAATCATGATCCTAATAGTTTAAAGATTTCTGCTATAACCTGTGTTTCTTCCTTTGGGACCAATTGTATGTGGTGAATCTAGTAATCATAAAGTTGTTTGTTGCCTCATTTTGGAAAAAGAGGATTAATGTTGCAAGCTGTGAGGCTGTACTACCAACCCAGTGGGCGCACAGAAATAAACCTCCTTCCTCTTAAGAAGTTTCACTGCAATGTTTGACTCACAGGAAGAAACTGAGAGTGTGTGATGGGCTAAATATTTTGAGTCTTTCACATCAAATTTGCCATCAACACATACAGTGTCAATAATCATGGATTGTTCAAGTTACAAAGAAAAAATCACAGTGAAGGAACTCAAGTTGCGTAAGGCTGACTAGTAATAGTACTGCATTCTTTGAGCTACTTTTCTAATATTAATTTTAAAATAATGCTAGGAATGCCAGCTACTGCTTTTAAAGCAAAATTTGACCCAATCGCTTTGGAAGACAGCAATTTTTATGCCCTATCTCAGGCAGTGACTGTCTGCATGAAATGAAATAATCTGTGCTGTGCTGGTGTAAGTAAACGAAAGTAACTGTGGACCTGGAATTCAAGATTAATGAGAATTTCCTAATTAGACAGATCTCAATATGGCGATCCACTAAAACTGCCATATTGATGTATTGGTTATGACCGGACTTGGACAAAAAGCATGTAAAAATGTTCTCTGAAAACAAACCTAAAGTCTTGTGACTGGATTAATTCCAATGGCCTCTATTACTGTACCACATGCTCCTGTTTCTGTCCAAATTAGGCCGTTTCTGTCTCTCATGTCCCAAGAGCACGCCGTGCTTGCAGGGGACTCTCCTAACTGGTGATGATCTAAAACGGAATAATTCCAAGAGCAATTTTTCCCAAAGTGGCCTTCAGCCACTGATGGGGCTGAGTGATGGTGTGCTGCTGCACGCAGCAGTGGAGTGGAGCCCATGGCCTGGCTGGGTGTGTTAAAGTCAACTTCAATCCCTGCGAACCGGTTTTTCAGTGCAGCAAGGAAACACACCCCAGGCAAGCCAAGGGCACCTCCCTCTGCAGGGCTGCATGGGGCCCCTTCCTGCAGGTGGGGAGAAGAGGAGCTGACAGCCACAATGAAGGGACTGAGCCACCTGTTTCGTGTCAGGGAGGACACAGCGCACGGAGATGCAGCAGCCAACCACAACAGCTGTGAGTGTGTGGGGAGTAATGCCAGGTCTAGCTTTCACTCAGCAGCCCAGTGTATCCTGTAAGGAAATTTGGAGCTGTAGATGTGAAATCACATTTTGGGGTTTGATGCGTCCGTCTTGCAAGAGGCTGGCCTGCCTGGCACTCTGCTGTAAGTGCACTCCTGCAGTTGTCTGAATGGGTTCACTGAGGTTAGCCACATGCTTGAGCTCAGGCACGTGGAAAGTTTCATAACCAAGTCACACTTGTGTGCTGGACGGGGCATGTAGCGCGCGGAGGAAGTTCTGGTCTCATTGCACACAGTGGTGTGACTCACTCTGATGGCAGACTTGAGACTGCAAACTGGTCTCTCACAGAACAGTCTGCTATGGCGTGGGCTGCAGATAGTGAGAACAGGTTGTTTGTGGAAACTGAAAGGTAATTATTAAGCCCTACTGTGAACGTGTCCTGTGATTTCAATGTGATAATCACTGAAATCTGTTCTGGGTCATGCTTCCTGTTTCCAGTCTTGCAAAAAGGGTAGGTGAAGATAAGCAATGAATGAAATATCACTGTTGGATGCTGTACGCAGTCTTCTCATGACTTCTTTGAAATGGAAAAAGGATTGTTTTATCATTCTCGTGACTTTACAAATCTCAATGCTAGACATTTTGTTTATGATAACAAACATAAAAATGTCGGTAGGTTATTGAAAGAGAAAATGTTACCATGTCAGTAAGTATAATTAATTTTTAGGAACAGTAGAATGAAAATACTTCAAATCTATTTGTTGATATTTTTGTATTTTCCATAAAATCCCTCAGCCAATTCAGATTTCTATTTTCTCCATGTTCTTTTCAAGGTACTGACAGATTCATATTGTGGATATTACAAAAGAAATTCAGAAATAGGGGAAAATGTGGAAAGACTTAGTGTTTAGACTCCTTATAAACTTTTCTATAAACACTGATTCCACTGGTTCACTTTCTGACTCAGTTTATATCCTTTGTTGTTCTACTACTCATAAATGGATCAAAGCCCCTTACAGTAAAATAAGACTTGAATGTGAAGAAATTAAAATTGAAAGTGTTTCAAAATCTGACTTTCTGTAAGGGGGACTTCCTGTTTTCCAGTCGATAAGGCAGTTCACATTTTCTGCATCATTTTATTCCCTTGTCCTTCTAAAAGAGGAGACAGACTGGGATATTCAGCACATTAAACTGCAATTACATTACGACTAGACTAAATTCTACTACGCATTCTGTCCCTATGGAGGAAGTCAGCTGACAAAATTAATATTTTTGGTCAGCTCAAAAGTAAAAGTGAAAATAAAATGTAACTATTTTAATGAAAACCGCAGGGCATTCAGTAAAACTGCTTGGGAGAGTCCAGGGAAATGACCCCTCAGAAAAGACTGAAGGCTGCAGAAGGGTGGCAGATGGCTGCTAGTGCTTGAAAATCAAGTGAGGGTAATAGTTCAAGGTCTGCCAAATTCTGGATGATGCAGATTAAGAAGAAATCTTCCATAAATCTATGGTCTGACAGCTCTTGTAATTTCATGCATGAAAATAAATCATTTTGCAAAAGCTGTAGAAAACCGTGCGTAAAGTGAGCACAGTGGTGCACTTAAACTGCTGCTATTCCTAAATCTCAAATTAGGATGTATTGAGAGGGGCTGTTAAGGAACATCGTGTCCTGAGCAAACAAAAAGACTCATTTTAAAAACATGCATCCAGTTTATGACTTCCAAACAGGAGAGGAGAAATTGCTAATTGATTCTTTGTCAGAGCTAAATCAAAATTCTTCTTACTGCACCAATACAGTAACAGAGCACTGCTTTTTCTTGTTTCCTGAAGGCAGTAAACTGCTAGGATTATTCCTGAATGCCCTGGAAAGCAGCAGTGCCCATCTTTGCATCTACATGTTTTACATCTTCATTGAAGTGTTTACCAGCAGCCAATGGGAATGAATATGACCAAACTAATTGCAGTTATCTGATGCCCAAAGTCCTGTTTCCGTGCTTGCTTTGAACAAGATATCCTGCAACCATTGGTTTACCATAGTTGGAGTCAAAGCAATGGAAATAATTCTTTCTGGATGTACAGTATAAAAACTATAAGTGAGGCATTTATTCTCACCTATTCCCTTTGGGTCTTCTGTTAGCCACTGCTAGAGGCAGAATATTGGAGCAAAGGGACAAGGCAAAATCTTGTAATAAAATGGTGCTATTCTATATGAAAATTGGCTATTTCTTTTAATGCTTGAGATCTAACACTAAGGTCTATAGAAACATTACTATTTAACTATTCTAGTCCTCTGATGCATTTTTATTTGTGACTGCTTTCTCATTTTGTAAAAGAAAATCTGTCCTGTGATTACAAGAGAATCTGGGAGGATGCTTCTGTTGTATGAGGAACTTGCATAATGTCATATCATAGGAAAGCTGGAAAGAGTTTTGGAACCATCCAGTTTAATTTCTAGTTGTTTGAACAATACTGCTGTGCTTATTCCACTGAGATTATAATAATAGATAACGTATAGGATTCAATTAAGTGAATGCCACACCAATTTTCTGTGGTATTTTCTCTAGTCATACAGCCACGAGCTATATCTCATTAGATGTTAATAAATTTAGATGAGAGACCCCCGAGGAACTAATTGCTGATGCAATTTCTAGTTCATCAGAGAATGCTGCTTTCTTTGTTGGTATCATTAGACAAGTGGCCTTCCAGCTTTCAGGCCAAAACATTCTAGATATCCAAGTGATTAACTTCTTGAGTGTGATCTGCTACTAAATTAAGAATATCTTACTGCATTTGGTACCCTCATTTCTCCCAAGTACTGAATTAAAAGTTAAGGCAGAAATGTGCTGGTGGAGAAATGCTTGTACCTGTAAGTTAGCTTAACTGGTTGTCAGGCTCTGGAATTTTATTTTCCAAATACATATTAAATATTTTGTTACAGTAGTCCAAATGTATGCTGCATCTACTTTTAGTCAACCAAATATATGTTCTATTTTTTCATTAAGGCATTAAAGCCAGATCCTGGCTTAATAGTAAATCCCTCATTGTGATCAGATTTTGATTTCAAGTTCAACCTTCTTTTTCACCTTCTCTCTCTCTCTTTTTTTTTTTCAATCCTCTGAATGAACCACTTGTTCCCAGCTGAGGCAAGTCGTTTTGTCACTGCTATACATTTTTACGTATTTTGGTGGTATGCTTTGTTGTAAAATAGTGATTTTTCCAAGAATAGAACCGAAGTGCTGCAGTTCATGATGTTCACTGTTGGGCTTATAAAAGGCCTTGAGACGCATTTAGACGACAGGAACTTCACAAATGAACCTCTTGTTCCTGTGAGCAGAGTAAATAATAATAGCCTGTGATGTAAAAAGCCCACTTCTGTTCGCACTTAAAAGTTGATAAACATCAGCCAGCTACCTCTGGAAGGAAAAAGTGCAGTCCTGAAATGTTTCTATGATGAGAAAAAAAGTGATTCACAGCATGTGTGAAATCAGGACAAGTACCAGAAGGTAAGAATAATATCAATCCCTTGAATTTGGTACGGCTATTCTTTTTGTAATATATATATATATATATATATTTATTTTTATTTTTATTTTTTTTTGCATGTGCCATGCCTTTCCACAGTATTGCCAGATGAGAGAGAATTTCAACACGCAGCTAAAACGAACAATTTGGAAACCATGGAAAAGCTGTTTAAGAAGAACCTTAATATAAACGCAGTGGATACTGTGAGTACAGTATGTCAGAAATGTGATGCCTGTGGGGTTGCATAGCGGAAGCCCAGGGTGCTGGTGCTGAACAAGTCCCCTTCTTGGATGTGGTTAAGCAGTGTTCCACATGTCCGGTACGGGCTGAAGAGTTTCACAGAGCGTAACTCTCAGGTCATTTAATTTAAGGACTTCCAAATAGCGGTCACTGCTCTAATATGGTCTGTCTTCCTGTATAATTCCCTGAGTTCTCCATCTTTCAGAGTGGGAAAACTTAACCCCACAGTCACTCTGAGAATGAATTTGTGCTGTTAACACCACAGACTTCACATGGTGGTGTGAAGCACTATTGCTCAGTGAACCACAGAAGCCTTCTACCACAGCTTCTGCTTGCAGGTTGAGAACAGAATTCAGATTTGCCGTAAATAGACAAAAATGGATTTCTTACACTGACAGAATCTAAGGACATGACGTTCACAGTGATAAAAATAAAGTGCTGTGCATTAGAGGTAATTGAACAGCAGCACAATGGTCTGGGAGTTGTGGAGAACTGGAAGCTCTCTGTAGCTATCTACAAATCCTCTGCCCATGAATGTCCTCACCTTACTAACTCATGGAAGCAGAAATCCTGCTGCCCAAGCTCACAAGCATTTTTCCCCACTGGGGAATTGAGGAGAGTATAGAGCTGCATTCCTGGTTTTCTCTGTGAAAAAGAGAATGGAGACAAAGACTTCTTTGGAGTAAGTTTCTCCAGAAAAATGACAGAGTTCCCATTCACTACATACTTCTGTAAATATTTAGCAGGTGACCACAGAACCCAGCCACTCCTTTTTGCTTTCTAGAATTCAGGAAATTGAACTAAATACTGTTCCAGTCCAGTACCCTGAATCTTCACTCTTGTTCTTAAGTCTATAGTGTAAGATTTACTAGCAGAGGTGCTTGGCTGTTGTGCATTGACTGATGCTCCTAGTAGGGACTTAGTTTATGCTGGCAAAGCAGTTCTTGGATTTCTGTTGATTTTTTCCACTCATTGTACTTCCAAGCCAAATAAGCAAGTCTGCCAAAAGCCAAGTTCTGCTGATAAAACTATTCCTGTGTAAGAAGCTTTTCCTGGCACAAATCCCACCTGTTTGTCTTTAACTTGTATAGCTGTGGGTGAAGAGCTGAAACAGCTGATCTGCACAGAACAAATCCAAACTGACTTTTAAAATTAATTGGTTAAGTCACATGGAAACTCTAAGTGAATTACGTTAAACCCAATTATGGTCGCTGTAATTAAAGGGAAATTCTTTCCACTGAGGCTTAATTCATTTTAACCAATCCCTTTTAAGTTTACACTGTCAGTTACTGCAATGAAAAATTGTTTCTGATAAACCTTGCACTATTAAAAATTACTCTGTTTGCAAGGTGGGAGACTTTATTTGCATAAGTAATGTCTCATTCTGTGAAGGTGACTCAGTACTGACAGAGGGAGGAATTCTCTCATGTGTTGCAGGCATACAGAATAAAGCAAGGAAAATATGAAAAGTGGAGATAATTGTGTAAATCCAGACCTCAAATCTTCATATTGAATTGTGTAACAAAGATGTCTCAGGCATTGCGTGTATCTCCTCTAGGTGGTGTGCGATTACTTAGACCCAGTCTGACAGTGCATTTCAGAGAAGGGGTTGTGTTGCCATACACAGTAACTTCAGTAAATAAACCATTCTGGTTCTCTATGAAATTTTTATGATCAATGTGTAAATGATCTCCAAAGGAACAAAAATACCAAGACCAATGTAGACCTAGCTGCAGGGGGAGCTATGCAAATGTATATGTATGCTAACTACTATAGTTATTTATAATCAAATAATTCAGAAATCCTGGTGTTTGCAATAAAAAGAACATCATTACGGATCTGATAGCCAAAGCTTTGCTTATTGCAGTTGAAGCGCACTGCACTGCATTTTGCTGTTGCAGGAAGTCACACGTCTGCGGTGGATTTTCTGCTCCATCACAAAGCTAGAGTTGATATGGCAGATCAGGTAAGTTCCCCTGTATCTGTGGCAGCTTCATATTCAATCACACTTGTACAGGATTAATTTAATAGCCATCTGTATATTAAAACAAACTCTGAACATAAAAATTAGATCTGGGTATTAGTGGGATTCCAGAGAATGACTGCTTGCATTCCCTTCCTCCATTCTTTTGTGAATGAGCAGCTTAATGCACAACTGTCAGCTATTCTGCACCCTCCAGGACTTGAAGAGCTGAGCAGTGTATGGTTCAGTTTTCCTTGGGCCCGACAGGGATTCATAGTGCAGGATTTGATTCAGATGTTAAAATCAAATGTATGGTATGTTATTAATGATCAGACTGTGCAAGCTACGAGTTTTCCAGTGAGCTGTAATTTGTTTCCAGAGAACTTATTTGTTCAGTTATGTACTTACCTATCTTTGTATTTCATCCTGAATAATGAAAATCAGATGAGTCATTCACCATTTTTTTTCCTGCTTTGCCTCTCTCTCCTTACCCTGCATATGCTGCAGTGTTTACACTGTGAGAAAGAAAAATTCCAGGCTGGACGAGTGGGCAGAAGGGAGAAAGTTTTCTTGTTACTCTGTGTTGGAATGGAAACAAGATATGAGAAACAAGATGTGAGAGACTTTGCCAGCATCTCGTTTTGGCATTTGTTCTGCTGAACAGGAAAGCTGCCTACTGTCTGTCTCTGTTCCAGTAGCTCAGGTTCATGGCCTTGTGCTGCCCAGCCCGCGAATACTCACATACAGAATGAAGGCACTGCTTCTCTGTGGAAAACTCTTTTTGAGTGACTCTCTCCTGTGTTTGTTGAGGCAGTAAGATGCTGCAAAGTGTAATTATAGGTCTTTTACTGTCTGGTAGGATGCATTGAAGCCAGTTAAGACAATATGTATTTTATTTGACAGTGATTCATGAACTCTTTGGCAACCAATTTGATATTGCAGTGGGTACATATTAGAGTGAACATACTGTGACTTTAGTTCTTACTCTATTTTAGTTTCTGACTTCTTTTTATGCTACTGCAGGATTGTAAACATTCTTAACATAATACAAAAAGCAAGCTGATAAAAAACACCCAGTGGTGGTTTTACCGGCATTCTCTTCCACCAACGGTACTTGTTTTGCTATCCAGCTACTCAGCCTGGCCTCTGACTTGGAATTTTTGAAGGCCAGCCCTGCTGGTGCAGGCTGAAGCAAAGAAGGCATTCACTGCCTCAGCCTTTCACCGTTCTCTGTCTCAATTCAGCAAAACTCCCATTTCCTTAGTCTTCCTTTTGTCATTGAGGTACTTCTGGAAAATCTTTTTGTTGCCCTTGGCATTCCTGGCCAGATTCAATTCCAATTAAATACACAAGTTTGTTTAGCCAAAGCAAGATTCATGACTGCAACATTTTTTTTTCTATAGTAGTCTTAGATGAGTTAATGTATTTCTGTGTTGTTTTTACATAGTAGATGAAGTGTAGGTATGATGACTCTGACGTTCTACAGGATCTTGGTAGACCTCTTGTAAGACACCTATGGATAAGGCTTGGATTACAGATAGGAGTCAACCTACTGATTCCTCATTTATGGGCGAGAAACTGGGGAAAGATGATAGCTGTGAAAGAATTATCTTGCTTCTTTTTGCCACCTTTACGTTCCTCTGACTATCTAAGGGTTCAGGTGCTCTTAAGCCAGATTTTGAATGTCTTCTGAGTTTTGTGCTTACACCAGCACATAACAGAACGAGTTGCGATTTATGATGCTGCACCTGGATGCAGAATACACAGAAACAGGAAGAGAAGTGGAAACACTGAAGAGTAGAACTATGACCAAAACAGGAGACAAAGAGGATTCTGGCTTTTTTCTGGCTGAAAGATGCTTCTCTCTTTTTCTTTTGGCTCTAAGATATTAATGACAGGAAGAGTTGTTTGCTTGTTTGATTGGCTGTTTTTCTGAAAGAGAAAAATTCTTAAGAGTAATTTGGAAGAAGAACTAACTGGAAAATCACAGTGACTCATGGAAATGCTCTTCTTATGTATTATTACCTGAAATGTCATCTACTGCACCCAGAGCTAACTACTTCAGGTCATTAGTCAGTTTTTGGAGAGAAACTTTTCAGGAATTGCTTCATTTCACAACGGGATTAATTCTTCTGAGGAGATGCCAGATCTTCTGCCAAGGAGAGAGACAGCCTGAGCTTTTAGTGTAATTTAAGTGAGGTGAATCCCAATCACACTGTCAGGTGATAGTGCTGATCTTCTAGAGCCCGTGGAGCAAAACCAACTCATACACTATATTAATCAAAAAGATTAAAATAAATTTGACAGAAGGGATTTTGTTTGGTAATTTCTGCCTTTTTAATTTCTTTTTTTCATTTATTTTTTGAAAGCATGGCCTGACAGTGATCCATCTTGCAGCTTGGACTGGAAATCTGGATATAATGAGGAAATTAGTTAAAGCTGGTGCTGATCAAAAAGCTAAGAATGAGGTGTGTTGATGACAGGTTTCTGCAAACTCTAATTATGTTGACGGTGGGTAATGATCAAACCTGCACTTACAGGCATGCTTGTGGTTTTTCAGGAAGAAATGAATGCACTGCACTTTGCAGCACAGAACAACAGTGTTAAAATAATTGATTATTTTCTCCAAGATCTTCATCTGACTGACTTGAACAAGCCTGATGGGGTACAGTATGTGCTTTTCTGATTTCTTTGATGTCATGAGGAAACTGTTGTGGGCAAAACAATCTCAACTTTGGCTTTTCAATGAATTTAAATTTATGGCAACTTACATGAAGTTTTCATTACCAGTTTTGCAGTTTTGGGTACTGAGAAATAAATAAGACAAACGGCCAGACAAGCACATAGAGAAAGCACCGTTCCTCCCTGTTTGCTGGTCTCAGCTGAACTCCAGATACCTCTCCTCCCCTGCTCCTTTGCTTTCCTTGCACATGATCTTCAGGCCCATAAGTGAGACAGTGAGATACAGGTTGGAGTGAATCCACAGAGTTCTTCTTTATTGCTAATTCTGTTTTCTTTTCTTTTCCTCTTTTCTTGTCAACGGCTCCTCCATGGGTTGCATGGCTGCTCTGGGAGCGCATCTCATGTGTCTTCTCCCTCATGCCCTCTCATGCCTGCTATGTCCTCTCCTGTTTTCTCTGGTATCTCCCTATGCACTGTACCTGTAGCAGTGTCTGCTATTTCTTTTATACCTTGCAGAGGTACCATGATTTCCTCTGATGGGTTCAGTACTAGCACATGGTTTTGTCCCTGAGGAGCTTGCTGGAAGCTGTTGTGATCAGCATGAGGTTGTCACTGAACTCCTCCACACAGCTCATCCCTGCCACCCTCCCACGCTGTGCCCCCTAAACCTGCCAGGGATGGCAGACATGGGCATCTTTCACTAATGAAGAGCATGAGACCATGTACAGCCATTCTACAGAGCTGCACCAACTCTTCAGCAGTACCAAGGCCTTCATGGTTTGCTATGCTTGTGTTTTTCCTGCCCGTTATCCTGGAATCTCACTTTGAGGACTTACTTAGCTAAGCAGGATATCTTATCCCCCTGTAAGGAAAAAATATTCTCCTGGGATCTGCCACCAAAAGAGCAAAGCTCCCCCCTCCTCTTTATTGAGCCTTGAATTTTATTGACCAGATTGTACAAAGCCCTAAACTCTGTCTACACGTGGCAAGGCTGACATTAACAAGAGTTCGTTAAGCAAAACAAACCTCTGCATTTTAGAATCTTAGAATTCTTCTCTATATTGAGGCTATTTCAGAAGTGTCAAACATTTTCATTTGCTTAGATATTTAATACAGGCCACTTTTGCCTAGCATCTGCGATTGGTCTCATCATCTGACCAGTGGCATTATTTTATGTCAGGGTAACTTTCCACAGCTGAGCTGTAAACAGCTGGAAAAGTTTTTGTTAATTTTAACAAAATTCAGAGTAATTCAGAATATTTTGAGCACATTTTGTACCTCATTTGCTGCCACTTCTAATCAGTTTTCAAATATTTTCTTCAGAATATGAAAGATGTTTGGTTTTTTTTTTACACTACTTAATTTTTGCCTTTTAAAAAAATCTTAACTTTTCATGTTTATACCTGATGTGATATAGAATAGAATAGAGATGATATAGAAATGTTTCTTGTATACACCTACTTTTCTGTCATATATAAATGTTCATGGAGAGCAACACATATATGCCGTATATCTGGTAGCAGTTAGGAGGCTATTTTTCTTTTCCATGACAATGTATTCCTTTCCAAACTGTCTTCTAGAATGGTAGAAAGCCATTTCTTCTGGCAGCAGAAAGAGGCCATGCTGACATGATAAATAATCTAATAGCTCTAAATCTGTTCACGACCGAAAAAGATAAGGTAATGGTTTCCTTATTTGCTTGTGGGATATTACTTTGTTTTGATATAGTTAACTACACAACTAAGCAATGTGAACAAGATGTGCCATGGTGCTGACAGTGATACATATTGGACTGACAACTACCACTACGCTGACGGTTTTTCAGTAATTAAGGAAAGAAATTGGAACTTCTGGCCTTGTTGCTGGGTATCTTTTTCATATGCATCAGTAATTCCTGCAAGGCAAGGCTGATGGAAGAAGAGGGGCAGTCTGGGCTGGAGGTGCCACTCTCTGCACTGGCAGATTAGGTTCTCCAGTTCTTGCTGCTCTGCTCAGCTGCACCACTGCAGAATCCCATGTGACTAACATTAAAGGTCTTGGAATGTTTCAGTAGATAAATAAGCTCTGATGGGGATTTTTCAGAAATGCCTGAATCTGACTGAAATTGCTTTTGACACTACATTTAAAGGTGGCTTGGCTAATTTTCAGAATCTACCTTTAAATTTCCTTACTCCTTACATCGTTATTTGTGGAATGAGCATGTTAGCATTTCTCTGCCTCTGTGACATTGCTAGGGTGTATAACCAAGATGTTATAATTGCAATATAATCAAAAGAGTAAGGCAAAAGCAAACAAGGATTGCAAAAGAGAATAAGTAGAAGAGCTTACCCTTGGGTTGAGCTCACTAGAAGATACCAAAAGAGGAGGATCTCCAGGAGAGATCCTTCCCCTGTGGTAGCCAGCTCTTAAATAGGTCCAGGAGGGGTGGAGCCTGGATCCACCCCTTCCGGCAGCACAGGTGAATTGCCTTCACCTGTGCTCCTCTGGCTGACTCAAGGCTCACCTCAGGTGATTAATCAGAGGTTCAGGCCGTGACTCAGCAGTTCCCATACACTAGGGTAAAAACATGGTGTAGTCCCCATCCTTGTAGGATCCAGAGCCCAAAGTTTTATTCTGATTCAGTCTTCAAGAGTTAGAAGTGTAGGAGACTTTTTTCTTTCTTTCTCTCTCTTTCTTTTTTCCTTTTTTTTTTTTTCCTTCCTGGTAATACACTGTTGTTTTCAGAGCATGAGCAACCATCTGGAACAGAAGGGTCACAACTGCATGCATGAGGAAAGACTCCCTTCAGAGAGTTCTTGAAACATGCTGTGGGTCTTCCACCTCCCACTTATAAGTAATAGAGAAGCAGGACAAATGTTGAAGTGCACGCTTAAAAAGTTCTTAAAACTTTCAGTTTATTCAGAATTTTAAAATATCTCCTTTGACATTTCAATTTCGAGGAGGGAAACACAGCCCTACATCTGGCAGCTAAAAATGGCCACAGTGAAGCTGTAGTGATTCTGCTCAAACACTGGGATGAAGTAAATGACTTCAATCAGGTGAGGACATAAATTACCCAATGAGTTAAAGTTAGAGATTTGAAAAAAACAATTAAAATTAACATTTTAAAGGTTTAATTTTTACACTGAATGGACTTCATGAGTTCTGCTTCCCCAGTGTGTTTGTATCCTGTTTCATTGTCTCTGCTCCATTAGATTCAGCCCTACTAACATCTTCCATGTCTCTTGCTCTGTCCTCTGTTCCTCATACGACTTTCTCTCTCTTTTTTTTATTTTTAATTTGTGTGTGTGTGTGTGTTGTATGTGCCCTGTTTACTAGTAGAAGGAAATAGTCCAGGAGTAAAAGATATCCACTTCTCAGCAAAAGGCTAAAGGCTTGTGGGCACCATGGCTCCTTTTTATCCAGCTAGCTTTTTTTTCTTTCTTTTTTCTTTTTTTCCTCATCTATGAAGGGCTGAAGCACAGAAATCCTTTTGAAATAAGAAGCTCTTATGGTTCCAAGATTTGCCTAATAAAGGTGTTTCTTCCACACACAAAGTTTGTGCTGCTTGGCCAGGGTTAATGGAGCAAATGACTTGCCTCTCCATCTGGAGATCTTCCTTTCTGTGCATAACCAAGTCTCTCCCATCCCACCATAAGCTATGTACTCTGACACATTCATGTCTGCCAAAATGATGGTGGCAGGAAAAGATGAGGAGTTGGTAATGCCTCTGCGAATTCTAAAGCACTAGGGAGGTTTTCAGTAAACCTTCATGTGTTGTAGAAGTTCCGAAATGGGGATCAGATCCCTGTGCAGATCATTTACACAGGTATATTCTTTTTTTAGAGACTAGCCGTGGAGAAGTAAAAGACTTCTCCACAGAGAGGTGTGAAATAAACGTGTAGCAGAAATGTTTTTATTAAAAGTGCTCCTTGTAGGTAAAGCTTGACTTGAGGATTGGTACAAAATCATGGCGCTGGACTGACATAAGCTGGTGCTTATGGTATGTGTCAACATGATAGTGGTGTTAACTGGTGTTGAGTGGCAGCAATTGATTGCCAGCATCTTTGTTTCTGCGCCTTTAGACTGTAATGTTCTCTGGAAATAAACAGCTATTTGTATTGTGCAATTTCTCTACATAGACAGACTTAGTTGTCAGCCATCACTTAGTTGTTCATGTGTTACCATTTTATTGAGGTATTAGTTTTAGAGCACTCAGATTCTATTCTCTTACGGCCATCTTCCCTTTTCTATTGAGCTGGATGACTGATCAAGATAATCTGTTTAGTGTCATAACTTTATAATCACATGGCATAATTTGGGATAGACATTTTTTCTCTCTGTTGATCTAGAATGGAGAAACTCCATTTTACTTGTCTGTTGAAAGAGGTAATGAAAAATGTGCTGAACTCCTACTGGAAGCAGGAAGTAACATTGATGTTTTAACTCACGTATGTATGCAAAATCCCTTCATCACACTGCTGCTGGCACAGCCCAAGCTGTGGGAAGGGCTTTATCTTCTCTCTTCTGAGTGTATTGACAGTCTCTTTGCTTTGATTATTTTTTAGGTAATGGCCAAAACTATAATCAAGTTGGGAATGGAGATTATGTTAATTGAACAAAACTTGTTTAGAAGAAGAGGCTCAGACAAAATTCTAAGTTTGATAGAATTATGTTTTAAGGCTTTTTTATTTATTGTGAACCCAATAGTAAAACATGTGGCTAAGAAATCGAACCAACCCTCAAATCAACTGAAAAGCCTAGTTTTTGGCAGCTTATATTCATGAACTGATGACAAATCTGTTCCCCACATCTGGTTCTTAGACTGATATGTGTTAAATGTCTTCATCTTGCCTTCTGCAAGAGTATGCAGGGATGCTTGTGATTCCACAAGAGTGAGAGCTTGTTTATTATAGCAGAATTAAGGGAACATTTTCTTTTTTTTTTTTTTTTAATTAAATAGTGATTTTAAATGTGTTAATGTGACTGTAGCTGCTTATTAAAGGACAGACTGAACTGACAGACTGAGAGATGTGTTGTAGTCTGTGCTTCAGCAAAGCTGACAATGCTGAATTATCTGTTAGTCAACAGAGAGTAAAAGGGACCATGGAGTACTGCTTTTTTTTTTTTTTCAGCATGCTTGTTGCATTGCACTAACAATGGGAAGTTCCTTCACTATTCATAAAAATATGTTGCTGATGGACTTCTTCCTAATTTTCCATCACTTCCTCAAATGGAAATGTCTTATTTTGAGAGGAAAGAGGTATATAGTAACACAGATGTGAGTGAAAGACTTTTCTGGATTGATATCTGTCTGTAGGATTTTTTTCTTTTTCCCAGAAACAGAAATGTAGATTTTTGCTATCTATAACATTTCTTTCAGAACAACAGCAATGCATTGCAGGCTGCCATTCAGAATGGACATCAATCCTTGGTCACTTTTCTTATTGATAAGAACATTGACCTGGTCCCTAAACCTGAGGTGAGTGTATGACAACATGCAGAGGTAGTTGGCATGTACTGAGGGCTGAGCAGTGTGGGAAGATGAGCAAAGCACTCTGCTTGGACTGAGCTGTGGTAATGCAGGCATCTCTATGTGCCACTCTCATATGGGTGCCCCCTACGTGGGACAGAGAGTTGACAATTTATGTGATTTTGAACAAAGGTCAATATCTACTTCAGTGTTTTCAGGCTCTGTGTTCAAAGCGTCTGCTGTCAAAATCTCTCTCTCTTAGGAGATTAAAAAGATACTAAAATCTTGATGCTCCTCAGGTATTACAGATTCTGACATCTAAGATTTTCTGTGAAGAAGTTATTTTCTACTTCTGCAGTGCTGGATAAGAACAGGACATAGACTTTGTGACATATCAGCTACGATTGCTTGCATGTTGTATCATGCAGTTGTAATGATTTATTGTAAATACCAGCCTCTATTTCTGCTGGTTGTTTTGTTGGCTTTCTGTAGCTGAAACAACTCATGGAACAGTAACTTGGGTTTTGGAAATATTTCCAGTGCAGCTCTGTGTGAGAGCTTTATTTATTTCTCTCTAGCCCTAAAGAAATGGTTGTGGTTTATAAAAACACTAATAAGCTGGCTTCTGGCACTGGTGTGGAATTACTTTTTAGCTGTATTTAATGAGAAACTGATGAGTCACAGGCTCAACAAGAAGAGCGATCTTGCCAATCTAATGGTTGGATTGTGACTGGCGTTGGAACAGTGCCCCAATTATTTGCATGAATAATCACTCAAATACAAGAACTTAATTTCTTTCTAGCTGTAATTTGCTTCCTTCAAATATTACAGCAAGTCAGGTTATTATGAAGAATAACTACAGCAGCACTGTGGTACAAGAGTTTATTTCTGGAAAGTAGATTCTGACTGCCGTATGCCCAAATCAGAATCATTCCATCTCTGAAGGAACAGAGCAGGGGCAGTGGCACACCCCGGCACGGATGTACAAAGGGGTGCCTTGCTGTAAGCATGGTGCTCTCTGCTGTGACAGCTGTGGTCCCTGATACCCCAAGGTGTGCTGTCTGCTGGATCTCATCACCCCTGCACCCCCTTGGCAAGGGATAGACTCAGGAACAGGAATGTCTTTCTTCTTTGAACGAACCTTTAATGAATGCACTGAGTGTAACAACTTCTTGTTTTCTCTCCACAGCAGAAGAATTCCCCTCTGCATTTAGCAGTCATCAGTAATCATCTGCTGATTGTGAAAAAACTCTTGGAAGCGAATCATGACATAAACTTCTTAAATCATGTAAGGAAAATGAGGATTTGTAACTATTTCACTGCTAAGTGGTGATTATATGAATTTTGCTTGCTTCTTTTCTGCTTGTGAGCTAAAGGTATTTAAAAAAAAAAAAAAAAAAAAAAAAAAAAGGAAGAGGCAGTTTCCTCATTGTATTTTTTTATGTGTACATACTGTTAGTCACAGGTACGTGCTGTGCTAGGAGTGTTTGCATCAAGCATGGACAGCAGAATGTTAGATACTCCAAAATATTTGGATTAGCTTATTGTCCAAGTGTTATGATTCATGCATAATAAATGACAAAAATGTTTCAAAGTTGAATTCAGAGGTAGGTCGAGTGCAGAGTGGCAATGACCTGAACAATTTATTTTTCTTCCTGCATCCTCACTATAACTCTGTCAGTGTAGTTTTCTGAAGGTAAACACAGAAATTCACCTCCAGCCGGTTCCTGGTCTCTCTTTACCTCCACTTGTTCATCTGGGAATGAGTAAAGTACACACAAGCTTGATCTGCTAATTCAAGGCAGTTCTAGACTGGTCTAGCGAAGTCATTCTAGATTTGAGAGACTGTCTACCCTTTCTCATTAAGAAATAATGATATCTAACAGAGGTTACTCCATAGGAAGAAAAATTAGGGTTTTCTAATAGAATTTGGAGCACAGGTTTGTTCCTTTGGATGTACATTGCTGTCTGAGTGCGCTTCATCTGGCTGGGATGGAGCTAAATATCTTTATAGCAGCCCACAGAGTGCTGTGTTTTGGATCTGCGCCCCAAACAGCGTTCATAACACAGTGGTGCTTCAGCTGCTGCTGAGCAGGGCCTGCACAGTGCCAAGCCCTTCTTTGCTCCCTTGGTGCTGTTTATTGCTCAGTTTTGCTTTGCCTCTGGAAGCTATGGGAAGAACAGAGGCCTTGAGCTTAATGTGGTGTTTGGGACCAACTTGGCTGCTGTCCCAGTGCTCCAAAAACCATCTCATGGAGAAAATCAGCAATCACACCTTTCATCCTTTTCTCCTCTGACAGATGTTTTGAGGAGAGAGGGAAGATCAGCACCTTCCTCTCCTTCCTCCAGCCCTGATGTACGGGCAGGGCAGCACCACAGGTTGGAAAGCATTTGGCTGTGAGTGAGGACTGCTCTGCAATAGCTAAAACATCACTGTGTCACCAAAGGTGATTGTCTTCTGAATCCAAAACAGGACACCATGCCAGCAACTACTAGGTTATTATTATTATTACTATTATTATTATTATTATTACCATGGTGCATTGATGGACACTCGGCTGAATATGAGCCAGCAGTGTGCCCAGATGGCCAGGAAGGCCAGTGGCATCCTGGCTTGTATCAGGAATGGTGTGGTGAGCAGAACTAGGAAGTAATCCTGCCCCTGTACTCGGCACTGGTGGGGCCTCACCTCAAGTACTGTGTTCAGTTTTGGGCACCTCAGTACAGAAAGGACATTGAGGTGCTGGGTAAGTTTAGGTTGGATATCAGGAAACACTTCTTCACAGAAAGGGTTGTTAAGCACTGGAATAGGCTCCCCAGGGAGACTGGATGTGTTTAAAAACCGTTTGGATGTGGTGCTCAGGGACATGATTTAACGGAGGGTTGTTAGATTTAGGGTAGTATGGTTAGGTCATGGTTGGACTCGATGATCTTTAAGGTCTTTTCCAACCTGAGTGATTCTATAATTCTGTGATTCTATTAGAAAAATTAACTCAATCCCAGACAAAACCACAGCGGTCATAAAACCTTCAACTTAAAAAGTCACTGTATCATGTGGAACAAGCTGTCCAGCTCCACCAGATTTCCACAAGTGACAGCATATCTTCTTTGCTGCTGCACTGTAGCCGTAAGCAGCTGGAATAGTTTCCCGTCAGTGCAAACAGTAAAGAAAAGACAGGAAAGGACAACATTTCTTTGTGAACAGGAAACTGATCACCAGGCTGCTGAACTCCCCAGGGCACATGCTCCTGGTTTCTTCATGGAGTTCAATGGAAGGATAAATAAAACAAGTTCAATATGGGTGAATGCCTCTGTATGAAGATGACAAAACCTTGATTACAGACATGAAGATCAGACTACAAGCTGAATGTTCATCTAGCTGTATTTTCCACATAAGGGCTTGGCTTTATTTTAAAGCTTTTTGTTTTGTTTTTAATTTTTATTTTATTGCACTTAAAGGATTATTAGATCCCTTATGCAGCAGGTGGATTTCTGTTCTGTTTTTCACTCCAAATCACCAGAGTGTGGCAGAGCTGGCTAAGAAGCCTTGTCATGAACTGCAGCACCATGTTTGTTTGAAAATCATTGGTGTCCAGTTGTCTTTACATGAATTTCAGCAGGAAGAGGTTATTTGAGAGGATAATATGGGTATTGGCACTTGCATCTAACACTCAACCCAAAACTCTGGTTTTAAGAGGGTAGAGCAAGAGTTCCTTACGCTATGATGCATTAGTGGGGCGTGATGGCAGCTTTGTCCTGAGCTGGAGTTCCTGTCTGTTTTTCCTGCAGGTATCCCAGATGCTTCCTTCTTCTTTCTGTCTGAAACAAAACTAGCAGTTATTCAAGAGTTATATTTTCTTTCTGTTTGGTATTTTCTAGTTTTCTTGTGAATCTTCTCTAGATTCAAACTGTGTGCATTTTTCTTCTATGTGGAGTTTGGCTCATTGTATTTATTTGGTGTTTTTAATTGCAGAGGCATGAAACTCCCCTACATTTGGCTGCTGATGTTGGCAATGTGGAGATGGTAGAAGTGCTGCTGAAGGCAGGTTGTGACCTCAAGATCATGGACAGGGTAGAGTACCTTCCTCATGCATGCATGGGTTATGTAGCTTTCCCAGAAACGCAGGAAGCACGTTTCCAGTCATCCTTCATGGAATGAGAGCAGCCACATGTTCATTCTTACAAAGGAAGCTCACTTTTTGTACTGCTTTACCTGCAACTTGCAGTGATCTGGAATAGCTTTAGCAAAGAAGCTGCTTTTGAGTTCAGATATGATTAAAGTACAACACGGACAAAATCTAGGTTTTCAGCCATTTGAAGAGGAAGTTTCCATGCACAAAACTGTCCTGGAGCAAAGCTTTATGAAACTAATGTTACTTTTTTTTTTTTTGGTAGCTTGGGGCTGTGCTGATGGCACGTGCACCAGCACAAAGGACCAGGGACACCCCGTTCTGTTCACGCATCCCAGGGAATGCAGCCCTAAGGAGCTCCTGCTGCCTCTGGTCTCCTCATGTATATTAGGCATTCTGTAGTAACTGGGTAGTTGAAACGTTTAATGATTTAATGGCAGAGCCTTCTAATGAAGGGGTTGGCTTCTCTGCAGTCTAACTTTCTGGAATGCCTAGCAAGAGCATTGCCTGAGTGTTTGTATCTGAGGTGTCTCCACTTGGTGCAGGCCCACTGAAGAGGGCTGATTATGAAGAGAAACGTGGAAAGCATTGAAGTGCCTGTACACCAAAGTGTTGATTGCTGAGGTGGGCTCAGATGGACTGGGATAAAAGCACAAAAAGAATGGGGTTTTGTCAACACAGCTCATGTGCTTTCTCTGTTCTATCCTTGTATATATGAGATGATGTCCTGATTCACTCTCTCTGCTTTCAGCATGGAAGAACTGCACTTGCCGTGGCTTCAAGGAGCAATTATGCTCTCATTGTAGATATGATCATTAAAGCAGAAAGGCATTATGCCATGGAACAGGTGAGAGACATCACGGAAACACAGAATCATAAAATGGCATGGATTGACAGGGACCTTAAAGGTCATCCAGTTCATTTTCCTCCATCATACCCTACATACAGAGAAAAAGGGTGGAGAACATTCTGACCCAAATTAAAACTAGGCCGTCGGCATCAGGCTGCAGTGCTTTGGTGCTTCAAAATCCGTAGCTGATGCATGGAGGAGCTCAGGCATCCGCATTCCATTTACTAGGAAGAACTCGTCGCTGCAGTGGGAGCTCCCTCTTCTGTTCCTCCTATGTTAATTGCTGAAATGAAAGGGAACAGGAAAGAAGCAGGCAACGTAGAGAAGGGAGGACAGGGGTTATAATGACCTCAGGCTGTCTCCGTTTCTAAATTCCCACAATGTCATATTACTGAGAAACAGGCTTAAAGATGCTCCTCCCTGTGGGGCTGAGAGTCAGCTGCACTGACGTACCAATAACTGCTTTATTCACTGCTTCATTCACGCTGTCCCCTGGTGCTCTGCAGGAGGTGCATGAGCTGGGAGGGCTGAACGTAGCATCTTTACAGAGTGTTTGCGCTGGGCTGCTGTGCACAGCCATGCTGCACACCTGCCTTGAAATTCAAACCCATCCCCAATACGTCTTGAAAATTCAGGACTCGTTGCAAAGCAGTCTTAATTGGGACCATTCAGAATTCTGAAAATGTTTATTTTGGTAAGGACAGTTATAGCAGTGAGCTACAAAGCACCTGTTATGCCTATGCACCACTGCTAAAAGAGAGGTACATCATAGGATGACCAATATTAATTTTGGAGGATATTAATACTCCGTAAATAATACAGTCTTGCTAGTTTTTGTTTGTTTGTTTTGTTTTGGTTTGGTTTGGTTTGGTTTTTTTTGAGCCACAGGTTTACATGAGCTCTCTGAGAATTAATTAAATTTGTTGAGTTTTAATATAATACAATTTAAAATCTCCAAGTTGTCTCAAATGCTGCCTGCAGACTGGCCCTGGTGAGGCAGAAAAAGATGCCTGTTGTAAGAAGGAAAATGCTAAGACTATTTATTTAAATCTGGGATGAAAGAACTGGTGACAGGAATGCAGTAGAGCTGTGTATGTAGCTCAAGCTTCTGATCTGATCCCTCACTCCCACGGCTGATGTCTCACAAGTCCGTGACTTGCCCCTTGCCCCTGCTGCCTGGCACTGGGGCTCTACCACTGTGGATGAGGGCCTGTCCCAGCAGTGTAGGCAGCCACAATCCTCCCTGAGCACAGACTCATGGACTGGTGCTCTGTTACAGCCCAGGTGATCCTTAACGCTGCAGGGAACTGTGCTTGTAAATCACAGATCTAGTTTAGTTAAGAGTGACAAACACATCCGTGAGCCATGCTGTGCACACGTGATTTGTCAGTTCAGAGGGGCAGTCAGGTGTATTACTGTTTCTTTTGGCTTAAAGGAAATTTATAAGTGAAGTCACTTGCTGCACCCACCCTTGGTTTTGTTTGCTGACCATCCTGAGTAGGAGATTAGATATTAAAGCAGAAGGGTTTGTGCAAGAGCCCAACAATGCTGGGAAGTAGAAACACAAGTGTTCGACCTCATTACCCATAGCTAAGTGGGGCCTTTGGGAAGCAGCTCAGAGCTTACAGTCATGGAATATGAAATTGTTCTCTTAGTGTTCCAAACCACAGCGTTTCAAATCATTATAGCAGGAATTGCCTTTGTATTACACTGAGCTGACTGGTCATCTGTGACAAAGCATTAGTTAAAAAATGGAATGCCACACTGCTGGGAGAAAGTGCACATGATTCAAAGGCGTGTGAAAGGCTCTCTTGTTCTCTCTGCTAGTCCTATCTATGGGCACAACCCATCTCTTCCTTGGTTTCGACCAGATTCCAGGGCTGCTTTTGCTGTCTTATACTGCCACGGCCTGTGCACACAACTGGCAGCAAAGAGCAGCTGTGTTCAGTTTGCTTCTGTTTTTGTTTTGTTTTATTGTTACTTTCTTGTCAAACCTCACAACAGAAACAGGACTGGAGAGAGTCTGGAGCTATTCTGTGTTGTAAACCTCACTCTGCAAGTGTCTGGAAGCACAAAACACAGTCTGCACCTGAAGAAATTGCATCAAACCCCCATGATGATGATTAGTTATTGAATTGTGACTTCTTTGTTTTGTTTTGCTTTGTTTTAACTGCAAGGCTCTCAGGCTAGAAAATAACCCATTTTCATGAAATTCACCTGGAGGTCATAGAATGGCCTGGGTTGAAAAGGACCACGATGATCATCGAGTTTCAACCCCCCTGCTCTGTGCAGGGTCTCCAACCACCAGACCAGGCTGCCCAGAGCCACATCCAGCCTGGCCGTGAATGCCTCCAGGGATGATGGGGCATCCACAACCTCCTTGGGCAATGTGTTCCCAGTGTTCCCAGAGTGCATCAACACCCTCTGTGTGAAAAACATCCTCCTAATATCCAACCTAAATCTCCCCTTCTCAGTTTAAAACCAATCCCCCTTGTCCTAGCACTATTCACCCTTATAAACAGTTGTTTGCCTCTCCTGTTTACATGCTCTCTTCAAGTACTGGAAGGCCACAATGAGGTCTCCCCCGAACCTTCTCTTCCTCAAGCTAAACAAGCTCAGTTCCCGCAACCTTGGCTCATTGGAGAGGTGCTCCAGCCCTCTTACTGGCCCTCCTCTGGACCTGCTCCAAGAACTCCACATCCTTCCTGTGCTGAGGGCCCCAGACCTAACTTCAGGGCAAAATGCTTGCGTTTTGGTTGTATTTTTGGTCTGGGTACATTCAGATTCCATGTGTGTTAGTACTCAAACACTGTGGATATATGCTAATGCTAGTGTTTCACGCTGCCAACCAGTGACACGGTAGTGCCTGCTCCAGTCAAACTGAGTGACAAGGCAGAGCAGGAGCAGTCTGGGCAAGTGCTGTGTTGGTGGTGTACATCAAGCAGAATGAGCAAGAGCTGTGGCTGAACCCCAGCCATGTTCAACATGTGGCTTCTAAAGTTGTCAGCCAAGGGACTCAAGTAATTCTTGCTTTTACCTGCTATTGTGCAGTGTGTGTCTGAAGTAATTGTATTTTGCTCTTACTGACATGTAGCAATGAACACAGGAGGTCTTCATTTCTGCCATTTCTAGTATTAACACTGGAATACTGCCATCCGTGCTGAGCACCTTCTTAAGAGCTTACTGCCAGCCAACACTGCCCCTTTATCTGCACCGAGCCTTTCACCTGCTGGTAGTCACATAAGGCTGTGCAGGACACAGTGTTCACTGCTAAGTTCTCACCTTCATCACAAAAAATGTCATTTGCTGTCGTTGTTAGGCACACCTAGGTCATGGTGATGGTTGGTCAGACTCTGATTTGTCCTTCAAACAAGATCACAGTACACGCACCAAGCAACTCCGTTCCTCCCTGTGGAATCTGGCGTACAATCATTTAAAACCCCAGGAATGGAAAATACTGGCCCTGTTCTGGAAGTTCACAGATGAGCAGATTAAAGCTATTGAGGAACAATGGACAGGTAACAGCAGTCTGGGATGGACAGACTTAAGTTATACAAACCGTGTTAAAGCATGGAGCTATTTTAAGATCTATTCATACTGGATTTATTTATTAAGCCTTAGGATATTTATTAATTATCATTATATTTATTATTTATTATATATTATTATATATATTATATTTATTATTATTAACCTTTATTTCTCAGTCTTCATTTTGCTGCTAGATGGGGAAGTGAGAATGAATGAGCAGATTTTAAAAGTCTCTTGGATGTGCAGAAGTGTAAAAGCACAAAACAGCACTTTTCCAGCAAGTCAAACAGACTTGATTTGTGTATTCCATAGGGAAGAAAAGTTATAAAGAACACGGCCACAGAATGCTGCTGATCTGGCTACACGGTACTTTGTTGGCCCATCAGAATCCTGTCAAGCATATATTCAAAGACTTGGTGGAAGCAGGATTTCAGCATTTAGCTGGTAAGTTTTTTTGTGGCATAGAGAGCATTTACCAAAGTGCCACGTGATGCTGAGCTCCCAGCCTGTGCTGGGAAGATGTGACTGTGGTAGAGGGGGAGGACACTCCTCTCTGGGAATCTGCCCTTGCAAGGGGCTGGAGCTGGTCAAGGAAGAGGGTTTAAGCAAGACAAGTTTTCTGAAGGAAGAGAGAAATACACACACTTTGCTCCCTTCCTTTGTCTTACAAACACCATTAAAATGTGATCGCCCACTCCTTCATTGAGATAAGTGCTGGCCATGTAAAATCTGTGCACGTCAAGCAAACATTTTCTCATCTTTCTTTATAGAGAAGATCAGAACTGAAAGTAGCACTGACATGGAGTCCAGAAAATGTGAAATTTCATGAGTTCATTGATAAATGGCATATGTGATGGAATTACATGCCAGATGGAGAGACTTTCATATACAAATATCTTCTCCAGAAATGAAAACGTATTTTGAAGCTGCAAGCTAGAAGAACTTGCTCTCCTGAAATACCGGTTATTCTTTGCTATACAATGATCTAAAGTGAATGCCTAGATGGTAATTTAGGACTATATTGTCAAGCAAGAGCCACCCTATAATTTCTGCACCTGCCTTAACATTGTGTAGTAATTCTTTATCAGAACTCCCCACTAAAGCTATATTGTGATTGACATAAAATGTAAATGAGACACTTTCTTGTTGAAATAAATGTAATAAGTGAAAATTGGGTGTATAAATCAACACTTCCCAAAATAGGTTGGCACCTCACCTCATTTGAAATTCAGGTTTTTATAGTCTTGTTAGGATTACAGTTTTCCTATCTGAGGAGACTTTCTTGTTTAGTTAATGCTTAGACAAGTGTTTCCTCTTCAGCATTTGATTCATATAGTAAAAATATACAAAAATAGCATCTAAAACCATCTGCAACTAGCTACAGAATTTTGTCATGGCATAACCTTGTTTACACACTCAAAAAAGAATATTTGATAATTTAATACTTTACATATATATTTTTAAGCATTTTTAAACCTTGTTTATTCCTTGAACTATATTTGGTGGTGTCTTGGATAATGTTTACAAGTTTTCTGACTACTGAATGCATTTCACATCTGAAAAATGATGTACAATGTCTGTCTTCATACTCCTATGTGTAACACAACAGCAGTTTTATCATACAGTGGAAGTACTGAGGCATTGCCTTACCTACCGCTGCATACCCAGCATCTTTCGGTACTGGACTTCAGTGTTTGCATACAAAGCTGGTAATCTGAGGTCTTAGTCTTATGCCTAAGTGCTCTTTCACATTCAAGCCGTTCTGACAAGGCTGCAGAACTATACAGAAGACGGGAATTGGTAAATCCCCAGGTTTTAGAATCTGGGACCTAAGTTAAAACACAAACTCTTACATCCTGTCAGGCATGCATCAACATTTTGCAAAATGAAAATGCTTGACAGTTTGCTAGACTCGAGGTGTGTAACCCGACTCATGTCATATCCTGGCTGTGGAGGCCACTGCCCTATTGTCTGTTATTCTTTGTTTAACCAAGTCAACTACATTTAGTAAAAGCATAGATAACAAAAATAAATTTCCTTTTTTACTTGAAAATAAATGCACTAGCATTTATACTGAAAGTAAACAATTCGGACAAATGTATTTTATTCTTTATTTGAAAATGTGCAAAAGATTCTTTATTTAAATAAAGTGTTTATCTTAATAACCAAGTTTTCAAATAGGAGGTAGAATAACATTCCAAGGTCATTTTCCCCTCCAGAAGCTTTCTGCAAACACTTTTTTTCTGTTAAAAGGGCTGAAAACATGATGCACACTGTAGGTCTTGCTACATCAAGCTTTGAAAAGACTGGGAAGAGGTTTAAATTACTTATCTTGATAAAAACCTCCACCAGTGAAAGATATTTACTCAGTCAACAACTTTTATTGACTGAACGCTGGTATGAGTTTGGCTCTGAAGCATTCGCCCAACTTGTCCTGCAGGTCTCACAGTTGTAGAACCAGAAGTAAGGAACACAGTTCGAGGATATTTAGCAGCAGTGGCTTGGGATATGGTTTGCTGAAAAGTAATCAGACACCACAGATCTTTAAAGAATGCAAAACAACCCAACTCCATTCAAGTAACTGTAAGCGAACTGTAGTTTAAAGGGAAAGATTCCTAATACAAACTGAACCACACATAAAAAAAAACAAAATAAAATGGGGTAACTATTTTTTTTTACTTCCTTATGTAATATACTTAGAACATAAAGTGCTAAGCTTCCAGTTAACCATAAACCCTGAACTTGATCACCTTGATCTACATGATCTAATTTCAAGAGTTTTTGCTTTTAAAGCTCATTCAGAATATTCCTTTGCAGTTCTAATGTAATAACACCAAAACTCCTTTTAAGTACAGCATTTGCTATCAGAAAGTTGGTTTCTGAAAGGAAGAAGCTTGCATTTACTTAAGAAATAAATTTCTCCCCTCAAGCTAGACTTCTTACTGCAATATACAGTAAATATATACAGTATATATATGCAAAAATTGTTCTTCTCTTAATCAAGGTAGGCTCTGTCAGATGACAAGAGAAATACTTGAGTCTGGTTGATGTGCATTTAGACTTTTATTTGCAGGAAGAATATAAGGCATATATTTCTGGGAATGTCTAGGAATACAGAGACATTGTCTGAGCAGCCAGAGATCAAGCTAGGAAAGCTAAAGCGGAGATGAAATTAAATCTGTCCATGGACAACAAAGGCAACAAGAAGGGCTTCTTCTCAGTGACAAAAGGAAGATTAGGGAAAATATGAATCTCTCATGAAGGAAACGAGACCTGCTGATCTGGGGCAGTGAAAAGGCAAGGTATGAGTGCCTTCTTTAACAGCAAGTCTGGCATTTAAGAATCCTAGATCTCAGAGGCCAGGATGAATGGCTGAAGCAAGGAAAATGCACCTTTGGTAGGAGAGGATCAGGTAAAGGAATACCTGAGCAAACTGGACAAACTCTACAGGTCCTGGTAGGCTGCACCGACAAATACTGAGGGTATGGGGGTATGAAGAAAGGCTGAGAGAGCTGGGGCTGTTCATCCCGGAGAAAAGAAGGGTGAGGGGGGATCTCATCAATGTTCATAAATACCTAAGGTAAGGGTGCAGAGAAGATTCTTTTCATGGTGCCCAGTGCCAGGACAAGAGGCAGTGGGCACAAAGTGGAATAGAAGAGGCTCTGTCTGAGCATTAGGCAGCTCTTCTGTGCTGTATCAGTGACAGAGCACTGGCACCAGCTGCCCTCAGAACCTGCAGACCCTCCTCTCTGGAGGTCTTGAAATGCCACCATGACAGAGGCCTGGGAATCTGCTCCAGGTGTCCCTGATTGAGCAAGGTTGGACCCGGCGCCTTCCAGGGGCACCTTCTAACCTCAACCATTTTGCAACTTTGTGACTGCATTTTTAAGAGGCAGGCTTTGGAGCAATAGTCATAGACTCTGAATTCTTAAAAAGTTAAAACCCTTTTTTGCTCAGACTGGTCTAAATGCATAGTGACAGACTAAGTGATTTGGGCTACCTTTTACAGTCGCCTTTTATATTGCTTTCATACCCTATTAATGCACTTGTCTCAGTATTTCTTCAGATAAGTGGGGGAAACAAAAGGATACAACAAGAAGCAGGCCAGATGAACTTTGTTGCCTCTTGATAAAGATTCTGCTTTTTTCTCCAATAATTTGCTATTCTCAGCTTGCATGGTATCTCTACCATGTTTGAAACGATTGCTCCACTGCAAAGCTTGTCTTTAAATGGCAGCCGTGTGATGATAGCACCTAACATTGTTGGACCAGATGACAACCAGCTATGGACAGGAAGACTCACTGAAGAGTTGGACAAGAAAGAGATTATTACGCCTATGAACAAAATATGATAAAAGAAGTAAACACTGCCACTTCACCTTACTCTGTTATTCTGTCCAGCTCCAGTACTGCATATTGTTTTAAAAAGCACTCAAGTCTAATTATCTATCTCTTCATGGTGATCATCTTTATTTATACAATATAATATTAACAACACTATTACAAGCATAGTTCTGACTTACCTGAGTGACCGGATGATGTTTTTCAACAATGACCGAACTCATGGGTGGAGCAACTCCCATCACTGCTAAACTACCACAAATTCTGTGTTTTTGTCCCATATCACATCTGCCTGTGATTCGAGCAGTGATTGTTCTCCCTGCCTTCTGTTGAGCAGATGTTATTACTTTTGCCATGGGCTACAAATAAATTAGATATTAGTTAGCAAAATTTCTAAGCATCATATTTACAATGTTTTAGTTTTCTGCTTCTGTTTATTAGCTGCTTGCCTAACATAACATAGGAAACTGCACGTAGTAACTTATGTTACACATGGGACGGAAGTTGCTCCTCCTATTTGTAACCTAGTTAATTCTGTCTTTTTCCACAGAGATGTTTTTTAGTGAAGTGACTACTGTCCTGAGGGGGGTAAGGCTAATTTGACAAAAATCAATCTGCACGGGTAGTTTAGCTTTGCTCACTGGCAGCATACTCCAGTGATAGCTGCAGGCACTTTCATCACCCTGACAAGCCTTTCCAGCAGTGACACAGCAGATACAAGAACACTTCTAGGTGATAGAAAGTTGCATCTTTCTGATTGCTAGCAGCAAATTGCATCAGATGGAAAAAGAAAAGGAGAGCAATGCAGAGGAGCCTTGAGGAAATCTAAAAGTACTGTTTAGTAACAAATACAGAAAAGAGAATGAGAGAGACATATTAAATAGCAGGAGGCAAAAGCAGACCGTATTTTTTTCCAGAACAAAATGGTACCATGTGAAACACCAATTGTTCCTCTTGTATTATACCCAAATGCACATGCACTTCTCTTACTCTTTGTCACTCCAAAAATGAGTTAAAGCTTATCCTAAGAGGGTTTTTCCATCACATTAGCAAGCATTCACAAGACAGTGTCTTCACACACGTAACTGAACTCTATGACAGTTTTCTCAACTACACACTTGAGCCTCTCTAAAAAAGTGGAAACTAAAAATTTGTTATAATTGTCTTAAAAAAAAAAGTCAGTCTGAGCATGTTACCAATTTCTGAGTTGATGCCAGCCCAGATCCTGCAGCTGTGCCAGGGACGATTACTGGAGAATCAGAATCTAGCCTTGTCTGAGAAGTGCTTGCATGACCCAGGTGAGTAGAAAACTGTTAATTGAATTGAAAGAGTTTAAAGAATGAGTATAATGTTCCCGAAAATACAGTTTTGCTCTTTAGATAGACAGTCTATTGACTATTCCACTTACCTTTCTAAATTCAAGCTTTTTTGCAGATGTATTAGTACTATTTTTAATGTGGTTTTTTTTTTTTTTTTTTTTTTTTTTTTTGCTAATTTAAAAATCCTTTTTAAAAAAATACTTGTCTAAAAGTTCATGGAAATTAAGTGACTAACATTTGGTACTGTTAGAATGGAAAACTGGGGAAAGAGGCAAGCATGTCTTCTCCCCGTTCTAGTGTGGAATTGTTTTACAGCAGCAGCGTCTTCAGCATAACTCCAGGGCAGGTCTAGAATTTCCAGGCTACTGGATACTAATATGGATAAGCCGACATGACAGGACAATAAGATAAGTTTTTCCTCAGTGACTACACATGCTGCATTTTTTTAAAAGAAATTTAATGTCAAGCTAACTTCCATTTTTCCCCCAGAGAATAGTAAGCTCAGTTCTTTTTTTTTGGCAAGCCACTCTAACAATTTCTTTTTTCAGTAGAAACCTCGGAAAGCAAATTCTGCTTGTTATAGTGACTTTCTTCTCATCACCTTAACACATCTTCACTAAAATCAAAGACAGATCTAACTGAAAGTATGGCAAGTCTTAGCAACCATGACTTATGCACTTCATTTACAGCAAACACTCTGAACATACTTGTAGGTTTCTTTTTATACTTAGACTAAGTTCAAATTCCTTCAGTTCATGGACTGTCATATTTATCTTTAAAAAGCCCCAGGGTAGGAAATTTATTTTCACTGCTAGTGAATACAGCACTGGCTTACCAAGTCTTCCGTGTGAAGAGCAGTTGCTGGTGCAGGGGGTGGTGAAGGGGGACTGTACTGTGAATGAGGTAGCCTTCCTGCTATAATGGCACCATTATCTTCTCTCCTACTTCCTGAATCTATTGTAAGAAACACAGAGTAATGGGATCAGCACATAATCTAGCAAGTGCTGGGGAATACGAAATATGTTATAGTAAAAGTTTTACTACTCCTTTGGTATTTCTGTATAAACGAATTAAACAGATCTATTCTATTCCTTATTTGGAATAGAATAGTCTATTCCAATAGTCTATAACAGTCTATTCTACTCCTTATTTGACCCTCCTTTTCAGAAATCTGGGAACAGAAATTTCAGGTGACTTGTTTCTCTGTTTTGCTCTGCTTGTAGAATTTCAGTGCAAAGCACAGAGCTTCTGAATAGTGCTTGCAAATACTATCCCAACTGTGCAAGAGCTGCCCTTACACTAAAGGCCAAAAATTACTTCAGAAAGACAGCAGTGAGGCATGGAAAGACTGTACAGAACACATCACCATTCTTTTGCCTCAGTGCAGACACCCTGGGGACATGCGATCTGCAGACCTAAGCACAGAATCTTTTCAAGTTGTTTCAGCCTTTACTTTTAGAATATATGCTTCCTTAAGGGAAACAGAAAGAAATACTCTTGTTTACTCTTCCATTTCTAAAGCAAATAATGCAACAGAAGCTCCAGGAGAAGCTCATTAGAAGTAGAAGCTCATTAGAGTATATCGTATAGCAACTGTTTTGTTTTTTTTTGTTGTTGTTGTTTTTGTTACTGTTCTCTTAAAGAGAGCAGTAAAAATATAATAATTAACATAGTTCAATTGGTACAATATTCAAGGTTTTCAAGAATGAAAATATGGCAGAATACACATTTTATACAAACATATACATACATATACATACACACACACACACACATTAAGCTTAGGCACAGAAAGGATCATGGCATACATATCTGATCTGCATTACTTAAGCAGTGGTATTTCCATTATAACAGAACATGACCTATTGTGGATTCAAGCTAAAAAAACATGATATGCAAAATCACCCATCAGTAAATCAGCCACATACTGCTGACCATCTGCACTGTCTCCAAATACTAGACCCATGTCAAATTGTGATACTTGCACACCATTAATAACTACCTGTAAGTCTTTTAATTCTGCTTTTACTTGCAGTGACAATAGGTGGCACTGCAGTGTTTGTAGATACATATCGCAGACACAGAAATGTAAGGGGCCCATTACAAAACACATAATCCAGTTACCCATCACTGTCTGTGAGACATACTCTCTGTTGCAAGTTTTTTTGAAAATAATCAACACGCAAATGTAAGATAAAACTTGAGAGAGCAGTTTTGTGTTCATAACACATTGAAAGGTAAGCATTTTATTCATGAATTCACCATCTCCGAGAAATCATTTATTTATTACTTAGCAGTATGTTCTTCAGCATCAGAACATTTTTTTTACATATTCAATCCACCTTTTTAAAGAAATATATATTTGATAAAGTCTTCATATTAAAAAAAAAAAGAAGAAAAAAAGGAGAATCTTTTTTAAAAACAACAGAAGACAATAAGAACAACAAAAACTACAAACTCCCAAATTAAATCTACTGTTATACTGACCAGGATCTGTCCTATTGTCCTTGCCTTGAAACATGGTCATTGCTTCCAGATTCAAAGCACAAACACCACGCATAAATGCTTTCTTCATAGTGTCTTCATACTGCTCTCTTTCATTATGCAGACGCAGAATCTCAGCTCTTGTTTGTTCCAAAGTAGCAGTTAGCTACAAAAGAGAGTATGGAAACAGCCACCTTGTACTTCTGGATGCAAACCACGAACATGTTCAATTAGCTTTAAAAGTCACTTAATGTGTTTACAAAATGTATTTTCACTTCAAAATCTCTAGTTTGCAAAGGATAGAATCATAGAAGGACTTGGGTTGGAACTAGATGATCCTTAAGCCCTTCTGTGATTCTATCTATAGCAAACTAGACGGCAGGGTTGTCACTCACTAGATTAGGCTATCCATGAACCCATCCTACCTGACTTTGAAAATCTCCAAGCATATGGGGCATCCATAACTTCCCTGGAACAGTTTGGTCCAGCTACCTCACCAACCTCTGTGTAAAAAAAAAACTTCCCCTTTTAAACTAAAAAACTTTTAGTTTAAAACCATTTTCCCTTGTCCTACCACTATCGGACAGTGAAAAAAGTTGTTCATAAACTCCCTTTAGCTACTGGAAGGCCACAATAAGGTCTCCCTGGAGCTTTCTCTTCTCCAAGCTGAACAAGCTCAACTCCCTCAGAGATTCTTTATAAGAAGTGCTCCAGCCCTCAGATCACCATGGCAGCTCTCCTCCAGACCCGCTCCAACAGTTTCATCTCCTTCTTACGCTGGGTGCTCCAGTACTGGATGCAATACTCCAGATGGGGCCTTATGAGCATGGAGCAGAGGGGGAAAACTCCCTCCTTCTCCTGCTGGCCACCCCTCTTTTGATACAGACCAGGATATGGTTGGCTTCTGGGCAGCAAGAGCACACTGCTAGCTCAGGTAAAGCTTTTCATCCAGCAGAACCCCCAAGTCCTTCTCAGCAGGGCAGCTCTCAGTGAGTTCTTCCAGCCTATACACATGCCTGGGATTGCCACAGTGTAATTGCAATATCTTGTGCTTCAGCTTGTTAAATCCAATTAAGCTCATTAGATTCCAGAGCACTGGAACAGTCTGCCCAGAGAGGTTGTGGAGTCTCCTTCTCTGGAAATATTCAAGACCCATCTTGAAATTTTTCTCTATGATCTATTGTAGGAAACCTGCTTTAGCAGGCCGTTGGACATTATGATCTCCAAAAGTCCCTTTCAATCCCCACAATTCTGTAATTCTGTGATGTGGGCCCACTTCTCAAGCTTGTCCCTTTGAATGCCAACCCTTCCTTCTGTTGTATCAACTATACCATTTAGCTCAGCATCACCTGCAAAATTGCTGACAGTGCATTCAGTCCCTCTGTCCAGACCATTGATTAAGATGCTGAACAGTACTGGTCCAAAGACAAATCTCTGGGGGACAACAGTCATTACTAACCTATCTTCACGATAAACTTTGAATATTTTTCAAGAAGTGTAGTTGACAGGTTGAAGACAAAAATACACTTCTAACATAGTAGCTGTTGTAGAAAAAGATATTGTACTCTTTATGGTCATTTATAATAATAATAATAGACTTTTATTTCTATAACACCCTTCTTCTTCAGTGAGACCTCAAAATAAGTAGCAAATATTAACAGTGTGTAGGAATCAGGTACAATTCCTAGTGATGTGAAAATAGATATTTACTTCACCTGCATGTGCAGATCAGCAACATTTTACATCAGAAAGCAACCACCTGCAGGAGAAATCCTAGATCTCCTCACATCTTTTCCTGTACTTAAGAGCTTTGTTCTCTTGGAAAGTCTTTGTGTTTTTCAAGCTTGCTGAAAAAGATACGCTTTGGGGAAATCGATGTATTGAGAGAAGGAGTTAAGGAATGGAAAAAAGAAACTTTACTATACCTCTGCAATTTTGGCTTCATAATCATTGGTAAGCTGAACACAGATATCTTCTGCCCTTAACTGACAGGCTTTAGCTACTTTTTCTTTCCATCTTCCTTCACTGAGAGAGCGCCATGCTGTCCATACCTTCTTCTTCAAAGCTGTCTGGAACTGTTTATCTGCTATTTTGTTTGCATATTCCTTGGGAAACAAATGAAATCACGTTACAAGCAAGTGCAAGTTAGCTAAAAACTGAAGTGATTGTGGATGACTCCTTAGCCACATATTACTCAGACCACAGTGGGAATGTCTGAACAGTATTGTGTTTATGTGCTGCTTCACTGTGAAACACCATACCAGTAGCTCAATCATTCTGCCTGCGCACGCATTAAGGAACTTTACTCAGTAACAAAAAACACACTGTAGAGCACCTACATAACACAAACCAGTGTTTTTATTCACAGCTTAATGACTTGTAAACAAAAGCCTCGCATATACAGTACAAGCCTACAGTCACAAGGATAACTGATGTTAGCATAAATCATCATCCTTAAAAAAAAAACCATACATATAGAGTCCAGGATGCTTTAACTAGTTGGTTTTTTTTTTTTTGCTTTTTTTTTTTTTTTAACATAATCCTATAATTCCACTTCAATAATGAGTAATTCTATTGTTTCAAAATATTCACCAGACAATATACTTTAGCATTGCTTTTTTCAGAAATTAATCAGAAGAAATAGAAAAAGTTGAGCAATTTCCCCAAAGTAGCTCCAAATTATTAGTAAATTCCCACATGGGAGAGAAGGAAAAGAGAAAAGGCTATCCCTTTCTGTGAAACAGCAGAGTTTAGGGCACTGTCAAATAAGCATGAATCTACTTTGGAATGTGAAAGTTTTGCAGCCTTGATTCAAGATCCCCCTTTTCTGTTATGTTTCATTTAGCAGGCTCTTTACAGCACCTGGCACAGTGCTCCACACTTTGTAAGTATCTAGCTCTTAGCTAATGCACGCTTTGGCAGCTAAGTTTTAATTGTGAGACTGGGTCCCAAAAAACGTAGGATGTGATATTTAGTGATTTAGTTGTTCAAACGTAATTTATTTAAAATTAATAGACATTCCCTTGTCACCTACTTCAGAGTACACATCCTGCAAACTTCAGCGATTCGCTATAAGACGATCACAGTAGGAGCAAACCAATATCCTAAACAAGTAGTTTCATTTCTTTCACCATCCCAGAGAGTATTCAGACAGCAGCATTTTTGGGGACACTGATGCTTTCAAACTGTTATTTGACATGGGAGACAGTGCCATTTCTTCCAACAGTAACAAGAGCATTACCAATTCTGACTCTTGTATTCACAGCTTTCATTTTCATCACATTTTTATTTTGCACACATACCTCTTGTTTAGCTTTAATTTGCTGAATCCGCCACAGTGTAAACATTCTCATTAACTCTATTTTCTCTTTCTTCCTCTCTAATGCTTCTGTCATGTTAGCAATCACCTGCAAAAGCATTTATTAACGTTACATCAAGAGCTATGATCTTTGTAATCTCAAACGGAATGGAGTTTCAGACTTATTTTCACTTAAAGCATTTACTTTTAGCATCAGCTTTTTATTACATCTTCCTTTTAATCCAATTAAGCAGGGAAAAGCAATCAGAATTCAAATGAGGAGTAGCAGTCATTCACTGACTCTTGTCTAGATTTCAAGAATAATTTTCTCATAACACTATCTATTTTTATAAATGTAAGTTACTTTACTTAAGTATGGCAAGCTCTAACTTTTTGTAGTTTCAGAAAAACTGTGTTTCAGTCATAAGTAGAAAATTTATCTAAAATTAGAAGAAAACATGCATAATTTGTCATCAATTAGGAAATGCATTTAATTTTTGGAAAAAGATCACCCTTCCTTCAGATTCTAAGTCCATCAGCAGATTTTTTGGAATACAGACCAGCCTTTTTAATTGTAAATATGAATTAAAAGTCCAAACTTTGTGAAGTCTTCTCAACTAAAATGTTTAAAAATTAGGTTAATGTAATTGAATCCTCTTATTTTATGCGGTTGCAGGTCTACCACAATTTTATGTGCATTTCCACAGTTAACTTTGAAGTTGTTCATAGAAAAATATAGCATAGGATAGCATAGCTATGACCATATAGAAGACCACAAATGTACAGTTCTAAGAAACTCAAAACTAAGACTCTCTAAACATTTTGAAGACTGCTACCTCGTTAAAATGCAGTAAAACCAATCCAATCAATAGAAAAATGAATGGCTTTCTGCAGATAAAAGCTAATAGACTCTTGTGTGATTTTCACAAAACAAATGAAGAATAAGATTAGACAGAAGATTTAAAAGCAAACAATATAAAATATATACATACTTCATATTAGATTTCCATTGTTAGAAGCTTATTTCCATTGTTAGAAGCTTCCCAGCAACAATGATTCATTTTCCCACCATACAGTCTTAATGTGTTATTTTTTCACAATACAGTCTAAAGTTATTTACTTATTTGTAGCAAGTATTTGGTTGGTCAAATAGTGTAAAAAAGTTTGTTTGTTTGTTTTTAAAGAGAGAACAATTGAACTCTGAAATTGAAATACCACCTCATCTTTTCTGCCAATAGAGATCTCATAAGTACGTAGCAACTCTTTAAGGTTTTCCATCTCATTATTCAATTGTTTCACATGTTCAGCATGTTTCTCTTTTTCTTGTCTCATTTGATGCTTGTGATGTTCGATAAAACTTAATTTCCATTTTCTCAATTCACTCAGAACATTTGTCTAAAAAGTAAAAGGATGACAGTAGTGAAATTCATAAAATTATTTCCCCTCCCCCCTAATCTTTTAATCTTTCAACACTCTGCAATTAAGGACAGATCAGTATTTGAAGGGAAGTCTCCAGGCTGTATGCACCTACGTACATTACCAGACGGTGAACTAACTAAACACCCAGTGACACAGAAAGTTATTCTATTTTTGTCTCATACTTACATGCAATATGCAACAAAAACAAAAAGAAAACCATAATTTTGGAATGTAACCACTATACAAATTTCCCCACACTCCCACTTAATCTACAACAACATACTGACATTTGTATTTTATTTTTAAGGATTGCATACAAAATAAATACCTTAAGACTTCCACTCCAGAGATCAAGTATATTTTCTATTTGAGTAACTTTTTCATCAGGTACAGTTAATTCAGTTACTGTGGTTTCATCAATTTCTCTTGGAATGTGTGTCGATTCTTGTGAAGAAGTCTCTTCTGAAACAGGGCAAAGTTGTTCCATATTGACCTCAGTACGCTCCTTCACTGACAGTAAATCTAAAAATGATACAGAAAATAAAGATTAATACTTTGTAAACAGTAACTGGTCTGCATTTTGGATTAAGTCAGAAGCTAGGCAAAAAAGGAAAAATAAATAAAATGACTGTCAAAAGCCAAATTGGACCTAATTCAAATACATGTCTCCAAGATACAGATATATTCAAGCTAACAGTCACACTGTAATAGTAGTAAAAATCAAAATTACTGTTCACTTAAACATAATCTTTGAAAGTCTTTTCGTATTAAAGAGGATGACTAAAACAAGTGAAGATGAATGAGGACAGTGTTGCCAAAGACAAAAAACTAACTCTGAAGATCCTGAGTTGGCTCTAATTCCTCCCCAGTGACTTGGGGATGCCCAGTATCAAGACAGAGAGTACATAAATCCTGGTAGCACAAATCACATTTGGAAACTGTAGATAACTTAATATTTACGTTTAGCTGAATCTACCAGACTACAGTTTTTGTACTTTGACCTAATATAATGGTTAAGGATGTTTTATCTTCCCAGTCAAAATGGTTTTGAGTCACAGTTTTTAAACTGTAAACTGACTGTTCTCATTCTAGGAGTTGCAAGTGTAAATCCTTCTGTAGAGGATTTTTTTTTCCCACAGTTTCCTATAGTTGACTGTTAAAGAATAATTGCCACAGTACATAATATCAACAGCTTCTATTGATCTCACTTCTTGTGCAGCTTTCACATAATTCCCTCACAGGATACAACTACACTGGATAAAGTTAATAGGCTTCACAGATATTCCATTAAGCAAAATATTTTCTCTCTCCAGACCACCATTCTCATGTTTCCCCTGAGCTCCAGAATCATAGCTTCTGTATTTCCTATGGCAGTTGAATATATTCTGAGAAACAAGCATGCTAATTCTTCAGAAAAAGAAGTTACAGGTAGGATATCCTTAATGACCAAGATTCTCCACTAGCATTCTAAAAATGACAATATTTCTCCTGGAAAATACTAATACTGGAAGGTGAGGTGTCAGCGCAGACTCACGCTGGAGTAAGGACACAGAGAATAACCAATACTGCCATCCTCACCTTCATCATGTCTTACTTTAAGAACCCATTTCTAGAATACTATTTGCTATATTGTACTAACATGAGTTAAATAAATGTCAACTGACAGGTTAATTGGACTGCCTTAAATTCCTGACATACAACTATGGAAGATGTATTTCATTTTATTTCATTTCATTTATTCTATTCTGAAAGGACAAGCATCTCTCTGTGTCTATTTTGTAGTTTCCTGCACTGGTAAATTCCTGATAGCAGAAACGGCCAAGAATATTTGCTTACATTATAAATAAAAAAACATTTATCATTGAATCATAGAATGGCTTGGATTGGAAGGGACTTAAAAATTATGCAGTACCAACTCCCTTCCATTGGCAGGGTTGCCAACCACTAAATCAGGCTCTAGATCAAGTTGCCCATGAACCCATCCTACCTGGCTTTAAAAATATCCAGGAATGAGGCATCCACGGCTTCACGGAACAGTTTGTTTCAGGCACCTCACTACCCTCTGAGTGAAAAATTTCCCCTAAAGTCTAATCTAAACCTCCCCTCTTTCCCCCCCTTGTCCTGTCACTAACAGACTGTATAGAAAGTTGGTTTCCCTTCTGTTTACAAGCTCCCTCCAAGTACTGGAAGGCCACAGTGAGGTCTCCCTGCAGCCTCCTCTTCTCCATGCTGAGAAAACCCAGCTGTCTAAGCATTTATTTATAAGAGAAGTGATCCAGACCTTTGATCATCTTTGTGGTTCTTCACTGGACCTGCCTGAACAACTCCATGTCTTTCTTGTGCTGGGTGCACTTGGCCTTGCTGAAACTCACGAGGCTCATCTGGGCCCACTTCTCTAGTTTGTCCAGGTCCCTCTGGAGGACATTTCTTATGTTGTATCATCTATGCTGAGATTGGTGCTATCCAATGAAGATAATCAGCACTAAGTTTCAAGGCCAATTAGCCTTTATTTGTAAGATGATCTACCATTTTACATGTTCCTCTAACTGGAAGAGAAAATATTGTCCTCAAGGAGACAAGAAGGGAGTATACAAAAATGCAGGAAAATATTTTCATGATGAAATGGCATACCTACACAACAACAGAAATCAAAGTAAGTTCTTCCTGATTCTGTAAGCTAAGAAATTAGTGAAGACACAAATATGATTATTTAGTATTTTTTCTGAAGTTAAATTAACAAAACTTCCTCAAGCTAAATATGATTGACAAAAGCAACCAATACACAACCAGAAATACCAGTGCACGCTGCATCATGCAATATCAGCGCACCACACGACAGTAAGTTTATACAGACAGAGCTGAATACCAAGTAATGAAATAAAACTCAAAAGCGGAAAACGGAACTAAAAGAACAGTGTTCATGTCGTAACACAAATAGTAATTCTCCAAAGCTCTGTTCAGCTAACACTTCAAGATAATCTTACTTGTAGTACAGTATGTACACGGCAGTACAGTTATGAGTAAAACTAGTTGTGATCTGACAAACTTCTATGAAGTAAAGGCACCTTCTTCTGCACTATTGTACCAACTATGGTGTAAAACAAAAATGAACAAAAATGTTTATTTTTACCTTTACACTACTGAACACTGAGAATTATCACTAAACCAGTACTGTCACTTTAAAGCCATATCAAGCAAAACCCTTCAGTGAATATAATACCTCCCTAAGTTTCTTGTGCAAAATATAAATACATTATATATTAGCTATATGTTCTTCTCAAGCAGGAACAATTTGAAAAGTCACAACACTGCTTTCATAACATCAACTCATAGCTTTGCACATATTACCTGGAGTTTTATGGTAAATGGTGTCATCTGTTACACTTGAAAATCTGCCCCTTCCTCTCAGTTCTGAGGAAGGTTCTGAATGCTTTGGGATGCACACTTCAAACTCTGGAGTCACTATAACATAACGAAGCAGTTCTTCATACTCATCCTGTCACAAAATGTTGACAATTGTCTAATTGTTGATCTCAACCATATTTATATGTTGCATCTCTTCCCCGAGAACCCAAGGTTTCATGTGTCCACCAACCTAGAAATAATTCACATCTGAGTTGTCAATCCAAGTCTGTCTGAGCCTGGTCCACACAGACCAATACTCTCAATTGTCCCTTTCCTTCCCCTGGCTGGAAGCAAGGCCATTCTAATTACTGTATCCATCCTTTATTTCCTGTAGGTGGATCACCAGGATCAAACATGAGGTCTTACAGCAACTCTGCCATGGCTAACTGCCCTAGATACTGACTACTTCTTTTCATAGTAGTTCACTTACTTGGATGAAGCATCAGATCTTCCTTGGAATTGCCAAGGTTGGATAAGACCTTTAAGATCATCCAGTCCAACTGTCTACCTGTCACCAGTATTCCCACTAAACCATGTCCCTCAGTACAACATCTAACATTTCTTGAACACCTGTTAGGGCTGTTAGGTGCAGAGACACAGGTGCACTGTGGAGCTGTTTTTCCTGATTTTCTCTAGCAGTCTCACATGAGTTCTGACTCTCCACGAGGAAGATACTTGGGGATGTAATGAATTTCCCAGGAGCCTCCACATGATTTCCAATTCCGGATGATGGGGAAAGAGCTTTATTTTCCAGGAGATGAACAGTGGAAGACCTGCTGATAAAGACTGGGACTGACTCTCTCTCCTCCAGTTTTATTTTTGACTTCTTTTGATTTATTACTCTTAATTATTCTGTATTATCACATATCCTTTTAATAAATTAGCTTATCCTATCTCAAATGGGCTTTTCACCTATTCCTTCCCCTCTTCCTCCCAGGGGGAAGGAGAGGCATCATATGATTAACTCTTCAAATCCTGACACTCAAGTTGTGAAAATTTAGAGAGGAAACGATCACCTGAAGTTACCAATTACATATAACATGCTATTGAATCTACCAGCTGAAACAATCTTTTAAAGCTTCTAGTATAAACCACACATTCCTGTGGCCTTCAGGCAATTAGCAGATATTTTAAGAATCCAGGTTTTGTACACTTTAGCTAATTTCCAGTTTCCCTTCAAATTTCCACTTTTCATCCTCTAGACTACTATGTCAAAATTAGAGGTCTAAATAAATATAAATAAAGCTATATGGCATATCTTTTTGACAAGGAAAAAGAAGTATCACATTCCATAAACAGGTAATTAGCTGCAAATAATCAAGTTATCAAGCTGGTTTTTTTTAACTAAACTCAAAGACAAATTAAGTACAAAAACAACAAATTGCAGCACGAATAAAAGAACACAGATCAAATGCAGAACCCAGCGCTCGCCCTCTTAACAAATTTTTGGAGATATGAGTAACTCAGGGTTTTTTGTCTTTTTTTTTGTTTGTTTTTGTTTTGTTTTGTTTTATTTTGTTTTGGTATATGTTAAGGCACTGTCTAATAACAAGTCAACTTCTTGGAGTGGGTCCAGAGGAGGGTCCCTAAGATGATCAGAGGGCTGGAGCACCACTCCTATGAAGAAAGGCTGAAGGAACTGCGCTTGTTTAGCTTGGAGAAGAGAAGGCTCCAGGGCCTTCCAGTACTTGAGGGGAGCATATAAAGAGGAGGGGAATGGCTGTTTATGAGGGTCACAGTGCTAGGACAAGGGGGAATGGTCTTAAACTGAGACAGGGCAGGTTTCGGTTAGATATTAAAAGGAAGATTTTCACACAGAGGGTGGTGATGCACAGGTTGCCCAAGGAGGTTGTGGATGCCCCCTCCCTGGAAGCATTCAAGGCCAGGCCGGATGTGGCTCTGGGCAGCCTGGTCTGGTGGTTGACGATCCCGCACACAGCAGGGGGGTTGAAACTACATGATCATTGAGGTCCTTTTCAACGCAGGCAATTCTATGATCCTAGGATGGTATGGATGTCTGCAGTTGGAAGGGTCCCCAAGGATCAGCAAGTCCAACCCCTCACTCCGCAGAGGACCACCTAAATCAGACAGTCCTTCATCTGCAGCATCTCGGGGCCGTGCCCACTGCCCATTGGGGCAGCCCATTCCATGCCCACCGCTCTCTGGTGCAGGCCCTTTCCCTGACCCCCAGCCACCTCTGGGGCCCCCTGCCACAGCTCCATGCTGTTCCCTCGGGCCCTGTCGCTGTCACCAGGCAGCACAGCTCAGCGCTGCCCTCCGCTCCCTGTGAGGAGCTGCAGCCGCCATGAGGGCTGCCCTCAACCTGCTCTGCTCTGGGCTGAGCACAGCCACGGTGCTCAGCTGCTCCTCAAACACTGTGCCCTCAGATCCTCCTCCATCTCTGGAGCCCTCCTTTGGACACTCTCTCCTCGCATCTTATGGAGTGGCACCCCAACCTGCACCCAGCGCTGCAGGCGAGGCCGCACAGCGCAGAGCAGAGCGGGACGGCCGCTTCCCTCGCCTGCCAGTGCTGGACCTGACGCACCCCAGGGTACGGTTGACCTTTCTGAGTGCCAGGCGCACTGCCGCCTCAGATGCAATTTGCCGTCAAACCAGATGCCTTTTGGCCAGGCTGCGCTCCAGAACTTCACCCCTGATGTCTGCACACAGAGCCAGGGCACCCCATCCCAGGTGCAGAACCCAGTGCTCGCCCTTCTTTGTGCAGATGGGAACCACCCTCATTTGGTCCAGATCTCAAGGCAAGGCCTCTTTACACACTTATATAAGTCATCCTGCAGTGCATTAGCTGGCATTCCAAAAACAACTGACTTCTCACAGGTGTACAAATAGCAGGTATGTATACAAGCAAGGAAACTTGGTATTAATTCCTGCTGTTAAAACTTCAACAGTTACTTACTCCAACTGAAGCTGTGTTTTATCACTGCCACAAGTTCAATCCATTTAAGTGTTTTAATGTCAAAGTTAAACAGTATCTTGTAATATCCCAGTCACACACACTGATGTATTCTGCCATTGCCAGCATAAACTGGCATTTTAAAAGGAACAAAGGCAATTGAGAGGAAGAAAAAACTGAACAGTGCTTAAGATGAATGTGCCCTTTCTATCTGGTAGCAGAAGTATACACACATTTGCACAAGGCAACCAGCAAAGCTTATTGTAAAAATTAACCTGTTTTGGTTAGAATCTTATTGAGGGAAGAAAAACAAAACAATGCCAACATCTACTCTGAAAATAGTAACCAACTATTCATAGAATCCTAGAATCACCAAGGTTGGAAAAGACCTAAAAGATCACCCAGTCCAACCGTTCACCTATTCCCAATAGCTCCTACTAAACCATGTCCCTCAACACAACATCCAGCCTTTCCTTGAACACCCCCAGGCTCGGTGACTCCACCACCTCCCTGGGCAGTCCATTCCAGTGCCTGACCACCCTTTCTGAAAAGTAATACTTCCTCATGTCCAGCCTGAATCCCCCCTGCCATAGCTTGAAACCATTCCCCCTGGTCCTATCACCGATGACACGAGAGAAGAGGCCGACCCCCAGCTCACTACAACCTCCCTTCAGGAAGTTATAGAGAGCAATGAGGTCTCCCCTGAGCCTCCTCTTCTCCAGGCTGAACATTCCCAGCTCCTTCAGCCTCTCCTCATATGGCCTGTGTTCCAGACCCCTCACCAGCTTTGTTGCCCTCCTTTGAACACGTTCCAGGGCCTCAATATCTTTCTTGCAGTGAGGGGCCCAAAACTGGACACAGTACTCGAGGTGCGGCCTCACCAGTGCTGAATATAGGGGAACAATCACCTCTCTGCTCCTGCTTGCAACACTGTTTCTGATGCAAGCCAGGATGCCATTGGCCTTCTTGGCCACCTGGGCACACTGTCGGCTCATGTTCAGCCGAGCATCAATCAATACCCCCAGGTCCATTTCCTCTACGCAGTCCTCCAGCCACACCGCCCCAAGCCTGTAGCGTCGCCTGGGGTTGTTGTGGCCGAAGTGCAGGACCCGGCATTTGGCCTTGTTGAAACTCATCCCATTGGCTTCAGCCCAGCTCTCCAGCCTGTCCAGATCCCTCTGTAGGGCCTCGCTACCCCCAGGCAGATCCACACTTCCAGCCAATTTGGTGTCATCTGCGAATTTACTGAGGGTGAAATTGAAATATTGAAATATTAAGGCTAAAGATCTACTGCTTTCAACAGCATAGGACAAATACTTTATCCAATTATTTTTCCATCCCTTCAAAATGCAAAGAACACCCCCTTCCTTTGTAGTTGCAGCACATTTAATGCGGGAAACAAACACTTCCTTTCATCGCGTAAGAAACCTCATGCTGCTACACTTCATTGCTTAGAAATTAGAGGTTTCTATCCTGGTTCTCACCTCTTGATAAAACTTTACACACAAAAAGTAGCACCAGAAAGAAGAGAACTATAGTATTTTTCTTATAGCTGTCACTGATCACCCTCAGTGATGTGTGATTAGATGTGAATTTTCATTTAAGTTGAAATTTCTTGTGAAATGCACAGAAAGAAATCCAAGTAACTTTATTTTAATCACACGTTTTACTTTTGTCTAATTTGCTTCATTTCCTAGCATTTATTTTACTATATCTCTAAAACACAAAAAAGGCACAAGTTTTATTAGGTTTCCTCACAATTACGCGTAGCCAGATAAAATGCTGTAATGGTGAACCAAATGAGGTTGCCTCTTTCCTACCTGAACATCTGAAGAAACAGAACTGCCCCGAACTGAGTCTTTCAGCAAAACTGGACTTGTGCTTTTCTCCTCATCTGATGACATCCTGCACAAAGTCAGTCACTAAAACAGTAGAAACTCAGCTTCACTTTTTATTTCCAGGATGTTCACTAACCTCTTTCACAGAAACACAGATACTGCTGTAGTATTTACCTCAAGTAGGTGGGGGGAGAGCCCATGCAATGGGATAACCTGAAAGTGTCCTTGTTACATATACTGCTATAAGCATACACTGAAAGGCATTTAATTGCTTTATCCAAACCATACTCAAAAACATGAAAAGACTTCAACTGACTTTGAGACTCAAACAAAACACGAATGACTGAGAAGCAACAATACAGCAATTTTGCCATTCTACACTGGTTGAGTAAATGTTATGCCTAATATTCCATGTTACACAAAATATTTTACATTAAATATACGGTGCAACTACAATACAGTGATAGAGGAAAAAAATTACACATGGAGAGACTATAGAAACCTTAATTTATGAGCACAGTTCTATGTCAGAGCCTCCTCCTTAGTTGCAGTGTTTGGAGTTATATATCTTACTTCAGTACAAAATTCCTACAGAGGGATATAGGAACGCCTAAATTCTGCTCTGATTTTTTTTTCTCCTGGAAATACCACAATCCAGGCTGAGATGATGCCCTGAATGCTTACCATACAGCATAAAAAATTTGTTAATGAATGAATGGCAGAGTGATATAGCTGCCTGATGAACATCGAAAGTAACCACGAGACACTTTTGAACAGAGAGCTGTTAGCTGAGAATAAGCCTGGGAAGAAGACCACTATAAATAACCAGATGAACAAAGTATTGGTATAGTGTAGCTAACAAGCATGCAAGTTAAAATAATTTTTAGACAGGCCTTTAAAACTGTCAATCATAATATTCTTAGCTGTTTTTTAAACAGATGAATTTTCTGACAGAAACATTATTTTTAAATTGCCAATTGTACTGATATTAAGTTGGCAGGAAATGTCCTCCTTAATGACCATCTTATTTCAAAATACTAAAAAAAAAAAAAAAAAAAAAAAAAAAAGCAAAAAAAACAGAGCGCTCTATATGGGAATAGAGATGGAAGTTAATTCATTCAGTTTTATGAGTTATTCCAGATACTGATTTGTCATGAACCATAGAAGACCTCTCTGCCATTTATGGCTTTCAGTATGCAGAATGGGAAGCTAGTGTCTGTGCTGATATTTTAAAAATGGCATAAACACAACTCTAAATGCTGAGATTTCCTACTGCCTAAGGTTCAAAAAACCTTTATTATCTCACTGCTTACTGCCTTCTTATGTTCTTTCAAAGGCCCCAAATTCTTCTTCAGTAAATCAAACCATGTGCTTTATAACTCACAGTTTCTCAATTAGTGGGTCTCAAGCAGTCCAGAAGTCCTAGAGATATCCAAATGTGCTCACATGCATGTTGGTGAGACAAAGGATCAGTTAATTACCAGGTATTCATAGAAACAGGAAGAGTATAACAAATTACAAACACTGCTCTCTTCATCAGCCCATTTAACAAAACTACCTACCACCAATTCTTATAATTAAACACGAAGCCACTTGAGTTTCACATGACTCTGAAGCATCTAATGAAGTGGAAGGAAAAGTTTGTTCATTAATTTAAGGCCACTGCCCTGACTTTCAGCCTTCTGAAACTCTTAACGCTCAGTTTAGCATATATAGCTCTTCGTGTATCATTGAAACTATGCTTGAGTTTGTGGTTCTTCAACTCAGCTGCTTTCTTTCACACAAACAATGTTATCTCTCCATTTCATGCCACTTTCCAAGCTTAAAACTGCAGCTCAGCTATCTGAAGTCACTTTATAGGAGTCACAATCTGCTCAAGCTCAGTGTCTGCCTTCTCTGTCTATCCCTTTTCTTTATTCCTCTGGACTAGACCTCTACCATGTGCACCAGAATTCTAACCCGACTGTCTTTACTAACTTGAAAATCACTCCACATTACAAATAGCACACTTCTTAAATTTTCAGCTTTCCTCACAACACTTCTATTTTCCCCATCAACATCTCTGGTGTTCTTGCCTGCAGTCCAACCTGACATTCTGAATATTGCAAAGTCCAGCACAAATACCAGTAAACCCAGAATTCTAGAAAACTGCTCATATACAGAACAGGCAAAACTACTGTAAGATAAATACAATTCTTTTAAGCTGATGTTTGCACATGCCATTGTCACCTCATGCTAAAAATAAGTTATCTGCCTTGATCTGATTAAGAGAACACATGGCAAGTTTCTGAGAGAGATATTTATCATGGCATACGAAGACATTGGTAAACTGATTTGCTGAGGTGCAAATCACGAAATGCGACGAGGCTACCGAGAACTTCATGGTTATCTCGTGCCTCTCATCTTCCCCAGGCGTCTGCCAGGACACTTCTGACCACACCAAAGCAAGGCTCCTGCTAACAGCACTAAGTTAACATGAAACCGTTAAGTGTATGACCGCAGTGCTAAGGACAGCTACTTACAGAAACAGCCCTCAGCTTTACAGATCTCTCATTTGTCTCACCGCGGCTGTTCACGCCACTAATTCCGAACTATTTGAGCCCCATGAGACTTCTGCTTTGGCAGCCTGCTCGTTACCTAGGGTGCTGCTTTCCGACGAGCCTCTCACCCAGGAAAGAGGTCTACTTCCGGAGGCCCTTTAACTTACACGTACGAAGCGGTATCACTCAAACCCGGCGCCTGCAGTGCCGATTGCCCGCTGCGGTCGCCTCAGCTGCAAAGTAAGGCCGAGCCGCGGGGCGTCACGCAGCAACCCGGTGGCACGGCCGGGCAGGAACACGGCCGAACAAGTCAGGAAGAGGAATCAAAACTTCGTACGTGAACGCATCCCTTTTTTGTCCTGCTACAGACTAGGCCTCTAAGGCTGCCGGGCCGCCTCGGGCCGCCCCCCGCCTCCCCTCTCACCTGCGGGCAACGGTCGGAGCGTCCGCCGGGCGCAAGGGTTTCAAACTACCGAGGCGGAAGAAGAAACGCCTCTCTGATAGGTTCAGCCGGCTTCTGCAAGGCACAATCTGATTGGACATCTTGGCGGAAAAATAGCCAATTAGAGAGCTCGGCCTGAGGAGATTGGGAGTGCAAAGCCGTCCCGCCCCTCGGCTGCGACGCGTCACCCTTTGCCGGTTCCTGCCTGTCAGCGGTGCCGCCTGCTGATTGGCCAGCTCCGTTCCCGGGGCTGGGGCGCGGGCCGTGGGTGGTCGTTGGTGGGGGGCGGTTCTGAGGGACGGGCGCCGTGAAGGGGGCAGCTGTGCGGTGCGGGACTCCGGGTGTCCTTGGTGTTGCAAGCTCTGTGGTCTTGCTTGGTGCCTGCTGGTGAGCGCCGTAGGTGGCTCGTGTGGGCCTGTTCGTGCTGGGGTGTGTAGGGAGCAATGCCAGTCCAAAAGCTTGTCTAGCCGGGAGCTCAGATAGGTACCCCGCGTTGGGGAATTGCTGCTAAAAGAATCATGGAATGGCTTGGGTTGAAAGGGACCATAAAGGTCATTTATTTCCAATCCCTTGCCATGGGCAGAATTGCCACCACCAGATCAGGCTGCCCAGGGCCCCATCCAGCTTTGTTGGAAATATCCAAATAATTTTCCAGGATAGTATCTCTGATAAAGCAGATTTTATTTGCAGTTGCAATGGCGGGCCAGCAGGAGCACACGCAGAAAACACCGGTCATAACTTTTGGCCTGCTTTACAACATAAAAGTAAGCATAAGCTCTTAATTGTTTAATTACCCCCTAGCATTTGTGCCCTTAACTCTGGATCGTTGTTCTGGTCATCTGTCTGTCCTTGCATAGACATAAGCTTGGAAGGAGGATAGAGTGGAGTATCTTGGAGCCTGCATATGGCATTCTAACATTCCCACAGAATGGGACAGTTCTGCTTTGCGTAAAGGCCCTGGCTCCTTGAAAGCTTGTTAAATGTATTTCACTTTTGCTGGCCTAATGAACAACCTTACAACATGTTTCCCAGTTCAGAATACTATACCCACATTGTTTAGAACATTTAAAGTCTATTGCAGCCTTTGTGAGAAAGAATTTGTCACATAATTTGGTAACTATATTTCTAAAATATATTGCTAATATGTATATGGTATTTCTACTTTTCACATCAGCTATTTCTAAGGATGTGCTACAGCTACTTTAGGTCGTCCTTTTCAATATTCAATGCAGAAACAACATTTTATCCCATTCCCACAGCCTGGTCTTAAGTGCCCCCAGAGACAGGACATCCACAATCTCACTAGGCAGCCTATGACAGTGCCTCACCGCTCCCAGTCAAAAATTTCTTCCTCACATCTAACCCAAAGCTCCCCTCTTTCAGTTAAAATCATTCCCTCTCGTGTTCCCACTATCGGAACATGTAAAAAGATAGTCCCTCTCCTGCTTATATGTACTGGAAGTTCTCCCTAGAGTCTTCCCCAGGCTGAACAGCCCCAGCTCTCTCAGCCTGTTCTTGTAGGGGTGATTTTCCATTTTTGAGGCCCTCCTCTGGACCCTCTCCAACAGCTCTGCATCCCTGCTGTGCTGGGGGCCTCAGACCTGGACGCAGTACTCCAGAAGGGCCTCACGAGGGCAGAGCAGAGGGGGACAATCACCTCCTTCTTTCTGGCCTCTCCTCCTCTACCTTCTGGGGTGTTAGAGCACGCTGGTGGCTCCAATTAAGCTCAAGTGTCGAATATGTTTACGCCGTGGTAGAAAGGTGTCTGATTGTTAGTGTCAGCAAGCCACGTGCTGGGTAACATTGAACAACAGCCGTTGCGTAGATCCCTGGGGAGAATTTTGTTGCAGTTACCTCTGGGCAGTAGTAAGTAGAAATTCAACACCAAATTTTACAGGCTTTTCTGTCTGGCTCCAGGAATCAGAGAGCCCTTCTGTCTGCTTGCCTCCATTTATCCTGACACCATCTTAATTGCTCCTTTTGTAATGTGTGCTGTGACACAGAAAATCCTTTCACAATAATCTACAGCATACATCTGTACCATCTGGTACTCCAGGGACACAAACCTCCTGGTCAAGTTCTGTAATATGTGAGTGTACTTTATATTGCACCAAAATTTTGCCTGGTAACACGAAAAGGACAGCACAGACATAGCAAACAATACACAACTGCAATTTATAATTTCCCCTTATTTTTTTTAGTAAGCAACGTGCATATGTTCCAGAATCTTTTGGACCTATGAAAGAGTTAACTCAGGAAATTATCAGAAATATCACCTCTCTTGGAGGCTTTAAGTTCTTCCACAGAAAGCCTTTTATGTAATAAAAGGACTCCTTTAACCTCATTTTCCAAAACCTCTTGGCTACTGCAGCATCCTCTTAATTGACAATTTCACCTGAAGCGAAGCTTCTCGGAGTTGAAGTGGGTAATGTGAGGTACTTGTGCTTTTACAGACCACTCTTAGGCTTAAGCCGCGCAGAACCTGACCAAAAGCAAGATTTCAATTCCTTTTTCTACTTTCTGTACTGAAGTGGATGACAGTGTCTCATTTAACCAATGAGTGGAAAGTTTTCCAGAACCTTCTTTCAGCACATTAGAAAATACTAAAGCTTTTTCTTTCAAAGAAACTGAAAGGAATTGTGTTAAGCAGTTACACCAATCTTTTCCTCACTGTGTAAGACATACTAATGCTAAAATATGTACTTTCTAGATCATCTTTTAAAAACATAACAAAGCCAGTCTAGTATCTAGATAGATGAATAGTTTTAAAATGCACTGATCATGATTTACTACAACTAGTAGGTGGGTAGAAATATTATTTAACAGATTTTTTTCAGAGATTTCCTGGTGAGTCTTTAATCATGATATCTATTGTGTATATTTTTCACTTTTTTTTATATATCTTGTCTATTTTTATATATATTACAGTGTTCCCTGTTGTATTTGTGATGTGTTCATGTATTTCTTTGATGCAGAAACCGCAAGCTTAGCACTAATCACAACCAAGCGTCAGATACCTGTAAATATAAAACATTTACTTACCTCAGCCATTCCTCTCAGACAATAAACAAAATCAGAATTAACAGAAAGCAGTGCCTTTTATGAGTCTCTGTACTAGTAATCTACACATCGAACATCTGTTAACAGGTATTCAGTCTTTCTTTTCTAAGGATTTAATGAGAGGTACTTATTTCACTAGTATTAAATGCATTAGCAGTAGGCACTTGCCAATATGAAACTTTCCTTTAGCCTAAAAATTCAAGTAGCAAGGCAAACTTCCCATTTATTTTTTTCCTAAATTTCTAAATTTATAGGTAGGAGTGACCACAGTATGAATGAATTTGCTCCATATGGGCTTTATTGAGCTCAGTGGGACCAATGGAAAGAAGACAGAATGTGGTATCTATAGAAATGATACCAGTGTCTGTTTAAGTGCAGTTTGTAGAAATATTTGAAATTAGGAATTGGAAGAAGCATCATCAGGGGGCTATTTGTAACTATAACATCTGGTAAGATCCACATGGCTGTGATAAGCAAAAAACTCAGTCTGAGTGACTCTTCATTATTGTGCAGTCAATATATTTTTTTAAGGCTCATGAAGTTGCTTGTTTTGGTTAGTTTCCAGAAAAGTAGAGTGAAAGACTGTTTACTGGTGGACTATTGTAAGCATGTGTGATATATCATGGTTTCAGAGAAACATCTCTGTCTGTCTGTCTGTTTATTTATTTATTTGTTTATTTTCCTTGCACTATTACTTTGTTTGAATGCTAATTTGAAGGCAACACTCAGCTGTGGTCATATCTAGGTGAGCAATGCTTGCACCAAAGCAGTGTGTAATCACTTTTCCCTTGCCACATCTGGCTTTAATGCAAAGTTCTAGCTGACATAGGATTTTCTAATAATCCAAAATGTTCATCCTCTTAATTTATTGTTTTATAATTGAAATGAAGTCAAATGTAGAACTGTTGCATTGTTTTGAAATTATTGTTATTGGTTAATGTTTCAGCAAGGCTTGTATTTGTCCAGTATGCACTAGTAAAATGGAGCACAAGTTCATTGTTTCTGACCCAGCAGTGCGATAGTATTATACAAAGCAGAGATATATGCTTTTTCTGATTCTAATCTGTATTGAACACTGCTGCTGTAAAAAGTACGAAGTGTATTCCTGCATAAAAGTGTTCTTGAAATAAAATGTAAGACATAGCCTTTAAATATGTGCTTAGTCTTCAGTCCTGTGCCTTTGGGAAAATGCAGACATTTGAAAATTGAAGGAGATTGGATGGGTACTCAAACCAATCTTTGTGATGCAAACATCTACTGCTACTTTGTAATTAGATGGATAAAAAGCAAAGGAGATCAAATGGTATAAAGCTGATTACTGGTATAAAGAGATAATTGTAGATAGTTAGAGTGCAATGAAATGACAGTAATTACCCTACTCCCACACTTTGGGTTTTGTAAAGTATCTGATAAAACCTTATGTTGAAACTTTCTGCTTCTTAATTGTGTATCAGAAATACTACTCATCTTTAATGTTGGATTCTATAACAAAAGACAAAGGACAATTATTTTCACGGAAGGAGGGAGAATTTTCCATGCTTCTGTGACCACTTATGTTCATATGCTGCTCTAGCCAAGCAAAAGCCATAGCAGCATTTGGAGCCAGGAAGAGTACAGTCGTGTGCAGACTGAGAACTTGTGTTGAGTTGGCTGTCTTTGAGGAAAAGGAGGAGAAGCGAGTCAGGGAAAAGGAGGCCAAATAAATTTAGTAGCACCGGTGCATTCATGAATGCACATCCCTTTGTTCTTTGAAGTAGTTTTTGAAGGAGTCAAAGTGCGAAGTAAGCACACTTTACATGTTATGTTCATGAATATTCAGTGTTGTCCATAATTTTATATCTGTTGAAATTTCTCAGTTGTTTGTTTTTGTTCTGTGTTTTTCTTCACATATCTACTGTAATTACTGTGATGGAAAAACAGATACTTTGTTATAAGTCAAGTGTAGATACTGGACTTTCACTCTTCTAGGCTAAATAGTTATCTGGTTACTATGTGAACAGAAGATCTGTTTTGTCTCATGTACACTGTTAGACATAGCTCTGGGTCTCCAGGTGGACTTGTGTCTTCTATAAATCAGTCTTGTCACCTCTCTTCTGTGCCACGAGTCCACATGTCTCAGACAGAAGCATCAAGTGTCTGGAGGTGAAAAGCCAGATAGAAGGCAATGAACTGCATCTTTTTGGGCCTTACATTCAAAGGTCAGTCATATGTTGGCTCCTGCTTTTGGAGGCCTTCATAAATGCATGGACCAAGGCTGTTTCTTTCCCCTCATGGGAACTGAAACATTATGAATAGCTGATCGGCAGATCATCATTTCAGTATTCAAGTAGTTTTTTTGTTGTTGCAATTAAAATTTCGCTTTTCAAAATATCTCAAAACATTACTAAATCAAAATTCTAATTTTAGTTGAGAAACAATCGCTGAAGATGATGGATATGGGAAATGTT